ACCATTAATCATCTATAAATAATAGACTGAAAACTGGTTCCAAGTGTCGTCCATAACATCCAGACACTTTTGAGTAAAAGATAGGTAACGTGCCCTTGTTTTGAAATTAGTCTCGCTTAACCAGTCTATCGACCATTCTACGTCTGATTCAATATCAGGATAATCAAGACTACTTTGTTACGAAACATAACAGAAAGCTAGAACAAGAAATTGAATTTAGAAATAAGCACGTTAGCTAGCTCAACAATTGTTTTAAGAAGCTTGTAAAAGTAAAATGAAACTACTGTTAGTATCATGTTCCTGTCTAACCCGAGTGTTTCAGAGATATTATTTGTACTAAACCAAAAGATGCCGCTCTTAACGGTACAGTTAATGATAAAGCGATTTAAAAAATTTAAACGAACGTAATTTCTAAATCTGCTGTAATAACCAAGAAGCTTAATTTTACTGCTATTCAAAACCGTCAACAATAAATTTTTAACGGCTGTAATAGTTGATAGATTTGTAGAGAATTGCACGTGCCATGGCTATTTATAGTATCATACTGTCAGAAAGTTGGTCTCGACACGGCGAATGTGCACGCTTCAGTGGTAGTCTTGAACTATCAGCAGTGGGCTGTATTTCTGTAGAGTGCATGGGTCACCCTACCAATGAAAAATCCTTGCAAGAAATTGTGGATGAATCTTGTAGTTAAAATTTCTAATGTTTTCAATTATGACAGATTGATGGTAGGTTGTCCACATTAGCTTAGTCGTCCGAGCAGTCCACAAAGGTTGTTGTATTGTGTTTTGTAGGTACCATACACAAAGATCAAAATATTCGTGAACAGCATGGTATCATTGACATGTGACAAGATCCTATGACATAATCAAGTGAACAAAAGACATAACTTTAGAAGTAATTAACGAGAATTGTTGAAAGTATATATAATAGGATTCTTTGTTTTACTATTTTCAACAACGTACAGGAATTTCAAGCAGATTGGACTATAACCTGATGTGGGAGGGGGGGGGGGACCAGGACTGGGGAATTGTCACTGCATGATAATCAGTCATGAATCATGACAAACTAAACCTAAAGGCTAAAATGCATGAAGTTCAAACTTTGTAAATTATTAAACAGTGTTGCCGGGGAAAAAATACACCAAATTCACATACTATAGTATACCCCAAAAAATGCAAATTGAAATTTTACCCATGATAAGTGGCTTGCATTAGAGCTGTCCAACCACTGACAGTATCTTGTTGATTTATATCACAACCTCTAGATAAAAGTAGTTCTGCCATTTCTAATTGACCCGTCATGGCAGCAAACATTAAAGGGGTAGCACCATCTTGAGGAGAACATGCATCTCTTTGATTTATATCATTGTTGAGTATTTCATGTATTCTTTGTAAATCACCTGAAAAATTAAGTAGAAATTCTACTATTATAAAAACAGTTTGTGATAATTTGTTTAACTTTTATCAACTTCTTGGATTATTCCACAAACATTTCTCACTATTTACACTGTACATATTTTCTGTTTAAAGAGAGATAGACTTGGGTTTAAGATCCACTGAACATACAGAACATAAGTAGGTCATTTCAGGACAAACAAGCCACTTGTGTGCAATGTAATGGACAATGTCAGAGAGTAATCAGTGCCACGTCCAGGGTACTTGCATTTTTACTTAAACAAAATAAAGTCCTTAAAATCTCAGACATTGTCCTTGTTACTTTCTTGTTGTGTCAAAACGGTCTTAAAGGTTAAACTGAGCAAATTTAATGTTAGAGCAAACCAAAAGCAATTTCATCAATATTCATTTTACCCAACCAGGAATTATTTTTGTGATGTAAATATTAATCTTACCCTGTTTAGCAGCTTCTATTATATCTGGTTTTACATCATCAATAGCTGTAAAAGGACAAACTTATATCTTTAAAACAGTAATTCACCTGTCTATGCAGTATACTAGCATTATATTGGACATAGTGGGTCAACAATGGGGAGCTGAGGCCGCTTTCTAACCAAATTTGATCCAAGTATTGGTAGAGAAGTGTTCCCACAAGGTTTCCGTTTGACTGTGGTGCAGGACGGTGGGTCTGGCAAGGAATTACAGCATCTAGACTTTTGGATGGAACAAATACCAAGGTCCTGTGCACACGCTTGGCAGTTGGAATTAGAAATAGGAGTAGGTTAACAGTCACTGTGACAATAGATTCTGTTTTCCACATCTTTTTTAACATTACAAGTAGATTAATTTTTTTAATAATAGCCTAATAATAATAACTTTCAATCCATTTCACGTCCAATAAGAACAATCTCTATTATAAAGGTGACTTTATATCAGAAAATGAAAAAATATAAATAGTGATCATTATTTTTAATAAAAGATGGATATCTAAATATTGGCCCAACAATAGCATAAGAAGCAGTACTTTTAGTAGGCCTACCATCTATTATAGAATGTAACTTTGAAGGTGATTTTACATGAGAAAAATGGAAAAACAAGTAAAAATGAAATTGTGATCATAAATAATAAGAAAAGTGTGATAACAATATATTTACATAATATAACAACTTACAAACACTTGGCTGTACAAATTACATACATTTGATTTAAAGATATATTATGTAAGATTTAGATAAAGAGGTATAGCCATTCTTGCTATAATAGTTCCAAAATAGATAATGTAAAATGAATAATTTGAAAATTTCATTCAAATTACTCTATTGCGAGCGAAGATATTAGCCTTTGAAGGTTCAACAAGATGTGTGCAATAATTTCAACAACCGTACTGGTTCGAAGCTAAGTCTCGCTCCTCCATTTTTAGCTTAAATCAAAATATGGCTGAACTGTTCTAATCTATTTAATATCGGAGAAATCCGATGCCATTGAGAGTTGATTATGGCCTGGATAAGTTAATTAATAATGTCTAATTAATAATTTAGAAAACATTTCAGGCCTAAAGAAAGACCAGCATTAAACAGATTAAGCTATTGCATAATGTATGTTTAAGTAGTCAAAGCATCCAAATGATTAAAACTTACACACTGTTGGTTTATTTGTAGTTTTTCTGTCTAAATATCCACGAACCTCTCTCTTACCACGCATTTTGGCAATTTCTAAAGCTGTTTTATCACAAACATTAGTTAAATTTGGATCACCACCCTTTTCTATAAGTATCTGAGCTGTTGTCATGTGACCATTTAAAGCAGCTAACATTAAAGGTGTCACACCAGTAGACGGATTATGAAAATTAACATCACAACCTTTATCTATCAAAAACCTAACAACAGCATCGTGTCCGTGTAACGCTGCTGCCAATAATGGTGTATATTCACACCCTGTACAATAAATATCATTTAACTCAGCACCGGCATCTATAAGTTTTAATGAGGTTTGGATATGACCACCTCTACCCGCTAATGTTAAGGCTGATGCCCCATACCGTGTCTTGATTGAGACATCAGCTTTATGCTGCAATAACAATGACACAACACCAACATGACCATAACGACTGGCTTGCATTAATGCCGTCCATCCCTGGGAATTTACTTTATCCAAGGCAGCCCCTCTCATAATTAACAACCTCACAACCAGTTCATAACCATTAGCAGACGACACATGCATCGCTGTATTGCCATCTTCGTCGTTACTGTCAATGTCCACTCCTTGATCTAACAATGCCTTTACCGATTCCACATCTCCGTGTTCACATGACCGAAACAGCTGACGAACTCTGTCCATATCTGTGCCCTATTACACTGGTTGTGATAACATTTTGAATTATTTACATCCTTCTGTGCCATTTGTAACCGTTACAATGGGTTGCTACTTGTGTAAGTCGACGCCATTCACTGATTCCTGGAAATGACAGTCTTGTATTTCTCCAGGAGAGGCCATTTTTTCAAAGATTCCATGACGTATATTACCCAGCATTCAGCATTATAAGAGCGCGGTCAACAGGTGCACGTTCGGTGGTTCTCTTTGAATCACCTGAAGACGATCGTGATCAAATTTAAAAAATACTACGACACAATAACTGATTCCTCTTGTTTAATATGACGCTTTACCATGAGCTGAATATAAATCAATATTGGAATCGTAGTTATCGAACTTCTAATTCATTCAAAACTATCATCATATATTAATTTCAGTATTTTTTTTTTTTTTTTAAGATGAACAATCAGGTAATCCCCAATCAGAATAACCCTTTTCGATTAGACAACAAGTTCCATCAATTAATTAACAGGTGAAATATAAGAGCGGGAAATATATAGCGGGTAACATACGATATGTGGGTCAAACCGAATAGTAACTAGCGTATATGTCGAAAAGAAACTGTACGTATCGTGACATTATATTCCATATCCCATGTTCTATAGCGATGAAGGTGTGCATTATAATCTGATATTTACCAGCAAAATAAAAATCGTACTTTGTATTTAATTAACAATAAATATACAGATTGATCGAGGGGCATTTCGCCCCTTGCCCCAAAAACACACTGCCCATTTATTTTACCTATCCTTCACTAATTTTAGTATCCTTCACTAATTTTAGTGTCAAATTAAGAAACAATGACTAGTCGTTCGGGTGGGTCCAAAAACCAAATATATGTAGCCTACATGTTGGCGTGCACTTAAAAAAAACCCTTGACAGTTGGAATTTAAATTTTCGGTTGGTACAGTAGGACGTTAAACCCAAATTTCATTCATTACTTTTTTTTCGGTTTAGTTGCTTTTATTTATAAAAGGGGGGGGGGGCACTTGAATTAGCCTACCCATATGAGGCCAAGGGATCCACCAGGCCCGTAACCAGAGAGATTCACTTCAGTTGGTGGCATATAATTATACCCTCGCCAAATAACAATTTTTACAAAACAAAATTTTAACTAATTTATATAGGCCTATACTAGCATTATGTATAGGTGTTATATGGTGTTGTAATTGGGATGTTTGTCATTCACTCATTAAACCATAAATTAAGAATTAGAATAATAAAACTATTCTGATTCGATAACAGACGATATCGATTTAAAGTAAGGGGAAACAACTCTTTTTTGGTGTCTTGTCAAAAGTTCAAAATGGCCGCCCACACGAGGTTGTTGGCAAAGTTATTGACAAGAAATGGTTTGTATGAGATTGATTCTATGTATAACTGTCTTATCTTTATTATGTCTCCGATGCAATAATCATAGCGGTAGTCTGTGGGTCCTATATTTTCGAATCCCTGCTGTCCTTTGCTAGCTATCAAGAACGTCGCTAAAAACGTTGAGAATCATGTACGAAGTCTGGCTAGTCAGTAGACAAGGCTAGTGTAATTATAAATTCACAGCCAGGGGATCAGGCATGCCGAGAGGTAGGGAAAACCGACAAATACAAGGCAGGGCCATTAACTTATTGATTATTTAGTTTATTTCAATTCAATATTTTTTTAACATTACAGGTACCACTTTCAACTGTGTCTTGCGTTCTGTTCATACAAGCCAGTGTTTAACGGCAGGTTACAAAAGAAGATTACAGTGAGTAGATTTCATCATTTTCTTAGCCATTTCCATGACTGGTATTAACCTCCAATACGGTATCCTATCCTTTCAATGTATTACTTGTTGTACATGTATGTGTTTTCTGTGTACTATATTATTAGTAGATGTATGTGATTCTTTTTAAATGTTGTCTTTTTAATGGATGTCTTGATGCAGTGTATCCTATTTTATCTAAGTCTTGTCTAAACTTTACATAAACCATCCATGCATAAACTATTTGGCTGAACATCATAGATTGTTGACCAATTGCATGCAAAATAATAGCAATAAATGGCTTAACATGGTATAGAAAGGAATAGGTTTAGTTAGACACTTAAAAAGTCCATAGAAAATTTTTTGTGCAATAAACTTGGATGTATAATTGAAATGAGCTATGTTTTTATTATATTTCTTCTTCATAGAAAGGGTGAAGCAGCTAATAAAACAAGATATGGACCTTTAACAGATTTACCAGATTATACATATTTAGGTAGGTAAAAAGATTCAAATAGAAATTCTGAAACCGATCGCGTCTCAGTCACTAGATAGAGTGTGGGTGATCTCCCTTGACACATCAAACTGATACACAAGACCAGTTCATACAATATAGAAATTATTTTCATTACAGATGGAAGACCCACACCATTAACACTTGGTCAAAAAAAACGAAAAGAAGACAGAATTAATGCAGCTGTGAGTATTTGTTATTAGCATATATTTTAGGGCTCTCCTGATGGGGCCCACTTTCAAATGGGGTCGTATATTGTCGTCACCCTTGTCCACAATTGCTTGTGTACAGTCTAGAGGTTTAAGTTATCCATTCCCAGTGTTTAAAGGTCATGAGACGAACAAGCCTAATATTGATTTTCAGCAATTTCCGATAATTAATGACAGAGTTATGGCCCATGACCATATAAAATGTTGTGGACAGTCTAGAGGCTAATGTTATTGTCCAGTTGTTTTCAAAATCATGCACATTATTTAAGTTCATCAGACAAAGAATCCTATTTAAAGTTTTCTGTAATGGACCTTGATAAATTAGGGTTAAAGTTCTCATCTGATTGATGCAGGACAGAGGGCCTGACAAGGACAGCTGCCAATCGTTTGGATGGGACTGAAAACTAAGGTCCCGTGTACACATTGGCGTGCATGTAAAAGATCCCTTGACTGATTAGGCCGTAGTTCAAAATTTCATTCATAGGAGACTGTATGGCGTATGCCCGTCTTCAACAGGCCAGTTCGGAGCAGAACAGTAGGACTGTAAACCCCCATTTCATTTCTCATCCCATTGACATGAAATTTATTCAGTGTTTACGGTCATGAGACACAGCAACCTATTGATAATTACTGCTAGAGTAGTGGTCTAACGTGCACTTTAAATCATAGGTCTGTCAATTGGCATGGTTTCGATCCAAATTTGTACAATGTACATGACAAGGAGTAGGGCACCACTTTAATAAATGTATGATTGTATATCTCATTTGAGAAATACACTAAAATCTTTGCAATTCTGAATGCCAAAATATCAATTCACGGCAATATCGTATAAATTTCAAGAGGGCATGTGTACCAGAGCCACTGGATGCAGCCTGTTTGACTGTCTGGCAAATACTTCCAGTCAAAACAGTGGTGCGTTTTCATTACATAAAATTATTGTGAAAAATAACTGACTGAAACTTTGATACAAAAATCTGGTAATATTTCAGAAACGTGTGGTTGAACTTGTACAGGAAATACAGTTTGCTAAAGAAAATCATAAAAATAGAACTTTACAGCAAGAAAAAGAAAAACAAGAAAACCTCTATAGAACATTAAAGCCAAAGGTGGGGTCATGAAAAAATGTCAACTGTTTTATAGTGACAGATGATAAACTAATGTGGAACAAATGTAATGAAGTTATTAATGGAAAAAATGAAGGAAATCAATGTAATGAAGTTCTAAATTGAAAAAAATTAGAAAAACCAGTATGATAAATTACATCTACCAAACATCAATGGTTGGATTGTTGTGTTATGAAAAGTGAGAGTTTTAGTAAATGTATATTGTGTGTAAACTGTAAATTTCCCAAAATATAAATTATGCAACACTTCAGTAGTATTAAATTAGTTTATTATAAATGGTTTCAATAACAGAGGGTATTAATTAGTGAAGTTAGCAAAAACAGATTCCACGAACAACTGCTGAATGTATAATTCAAAATACATGTAATACATTTTATGCAAAACAATTAACAAATCATTTATTTGCAAATAAATAGAACTGGTACTTTGATACATAACAGATAGTTCTGATGATGGACTGAATTTACTTGAACTCAAGTACGACTGAGGGAGAGTATAGCTAAATTGACTAAGTACTTGATTTTAGAGCATCACAACAAATGACTCTACTTTTGCTAAAGTCTTTTGTCATTTACCTCATGTCATCTAAGATACCCTCTGAAAGGTGACAGTTGGTTCGTTAAGAGAAAACTAGAGCTGTAATTAAATACTCAAGCAATCTGATCTTTAAATTAAAGACCAACATATAGTAAAGTGGAGGATTGGAAAGTAATATGTCTAAACCATGCACCTATTGTATTATACAATCATTAAATTTCATTTTGAATTGATTTTCATGAAAGTTTAACATCAGCGAATTTTGTTGCTAGATCAATAACTTCTTTCAGAGCTCCAACATTGGTCCCAGTTGCTTGAGCAGATACATCTTTTCCCCCACCTTTACCATTTATAACTGTAACAACTTGATCTATCCATAACTTGGCGGATAAACCAACATTGGCTGCTTCCTGAAAATATAAGTTAACAAAATGTATTGCTCATATTCTTACAAAGCACGGCCCTTATTCACGAAAACTTAAACTAAGATACAATCGAAATTTTAAGAAATACTGCAATTCGATTGGCTGACCAGTAAAATCAATTTGCATATATCCAATGAACTTAGTTTAAGTTTTCGTGAATAAGAGCCCAAATCATTATGCTCAATCCCAGCATGCAAACTATAGACTTTCAGGTCTTGACATTAACCACTTCTAGTCTATTTTTATCAATTCTTGGTATCAGGGTACTCTTTGATCAGGACTGACAATTCAGTCATCTTTTTTTCTACCAGACAGTAAATTTACATGTCATAAAATTGAGATATTTCAAAAACTGATTATTAAATTGTAATGTCACATATTCATTGAAAATATTCCTAGCCTACGGAATTCAGTATATATGATATATGTGACCCCCCACAGCATACTGAGTCACAATGAGGAAATTTTGAAAATTGAGTTATTGTTATTTTCACAATCTCCAACTCATTACCTTAAATTTGATGTATAGTTTGTTTGAATTGGAAGCTACCCAACTCACAAAAGTAAGTTTTGAGAAAAAGCAAGTCAAAGATTTGGTATGTTCCAAAACAAAATCCAATAGCAACCAGGCCATTTATCTGCTGTTTTGTCGTTGAATATATCGTAGTAGAAATTTGATCCGACTATTTCCGCAATTTATTTGCTATATTTTGTCGTTTAATGTTTTTTAATTTAGGATTTCAAGGGTGCCGACGACGAAAATCGTAATAAATGCACTCCTTTCGTAACGAAACATCCACAACACATACGGCATAATATTCACATGATAGTGTTATACTGAAGAACAATCTATACATTAGTAGTCTGTTGTGTATAATATAACTTTAGTGAGATTAACTCAGTTAATCTCATCAATTAATTAGCACCTTAGTGCCAGCTAGTGGTCAGGAGATTAAGATTGTTGATTGGATAATCATCAAAGAAGCCGCCACAGCTGTACGCGTGTTCATTTAACACGTGAATTAAAATAAGATTTTGCGTGTACCATAGGTCTATTATTATTTTCAGGTACCATGGCGTTATCAAAATATGAGTCCCTATAGAAATGTCAATTTCATAGTCAAGAAATGCCTACGTTCACTTTCGTGCATTTTGGCTTTGATGTAAATATCAACATTATTCAGAGGATACTCAATGGCATACTGAGAATCGTCGCATTTCGGCTCGTTGGTCGTTCTCATTTTTTCGACCCATTGTGATAAGAGAATTTTAAACAATAATATCCCAGATGCATTCCTTACTTTGCATACCGTATGAAGAAGCGACGGTAAACGGAATTCAGCTATCAATAAAATTCTCTTCGAAAAGAAAATTACTGGCCATTTTGTTTATTTCCATTTAAGGCCTATAGATTATTTTTTTAAAGATGATATGAGATATCAAATAATCACCACTTGGATTAATTATTTGGAGTAAATAATGAGTTGTCGACGGCTTTATCATTGACTCGTGACAGTTGATTAGTAATAGTATTACTCAGTGACACACACCCGCTTGTCGATTAATTTACATCATCAGCCACGTGGTTTTGATTAACACTCAACGGCAATCTCTACGATCAGAATTTTTTTTTTTTCTGCCACTTATCAGAGTGAATCGCATGTAAGTACCAAAAAACATTATCGCCAAAACCAAATATTTATGGATAATGTCTTGCACGAAGTGTCTGAGCCAATCAGCAAAGGAGTTGTGTTTGACAGCATGGCAACAGGCGGAGTTTATTTATATTTTTGGATTGTTTTAAAACTCAATTGTATCCGTTCAAAATCAATTCATCGACAATATTTTGATCATATTTATAAACTAGAGATGCTCCGCTTTACAACGATGCCAATTGTTATGCAAGAGGAATGACCGGTCGTCCCGCTGCGAGCGAAGACAAATAACTAATTTCGCTGAGAATTTTAAGAAATAGGACAGATTTAAGAATACGGTACTCTTACAAAACGTTCAAATACAGGTGTTTTAAAATGTTTTATTGCTATTTTGATCTTCTGTGTCGATAGATAGTATATTTATAGACTCATTTTTGTGAAAATCTCAATTTTGTTCAAAATCAATATTTTCACTTATTTTGTCTTTATCTCATTATTGATTCTCGCGTATTTCGACTCATTTAGATGCGGCCGGTCACATATGTACTTCCTGTGTGAATAAAAATAAAATCAAATGCAATGGGGTTTAACATCCTACTGTACGAAATAGAAAACTTACCTTAGGAACACAGCTCATACATATTATTTTACCACCTTCATTGTCTACTGTTATAAAGAATGCTGAGGTTTGAGGACTTGAGGCTTTATATTGTTTCATAGCAGCATCTAGTGCCTATAAATATATTATATGGGTAACTTTAAACAGGTGAAATAGAAACCGAACAATAGGTATAGAAGTCTCTATCAAATAGTTGATAGTATAACTTAAAACTTATTCAAATGATAATTGTTTCATTCAGGTTATAAAGAAGATTAATGAACGTACCTTTGCACTAGACCCAGCTTTAAATTCATGTACAATATATTTTACGTTAGGATTAGCTTCTATCATTTTCTTTGCTTCTTCAATAACCTAGCAATAGATAATAAAAACAAATTACATTAATTCTACCTTTTTTATGTTTAAAACCAAACTAAAGTAGAAATAATGTACATGTAGAAAGACAAGCCAACAGCAGGGCTTGCCATGAGATACGAGTAACTACTCGAGCACAAAGCCAAATCTATGTGAGCAATCAAGTACAGATTTTTACGAAATTTCGTAAGGCAATAGAAATTATTGGAAACGGAACGGCATTATTAATAAAGCGGTTCCGTTTCCATAATTTCTATTGCCTTAACCGTAAACACACTAACGATAAGGATATTTGTTGTCTATTATATGATTTGGTAAGCACTGTCTCAAAGTAATTTGTTTTGTAAAAAGGGCACAATTTCCTCCACTGTTTAACAGATTAATGGTATAGCTTATGCCTTTTATGTTATTTATGGGAAAGAATACAGCTAATGTGGCTCGCTATTATTTTTCTTCATGTATTGAATTGGCATATTTCAAATAATTGTAAATTCATCGTCCAGTATATCAAATATACAAAAAATATTACAGATTGAAAACACATTTTTTGTAAACAACCAACATTGCACTGGATAAATACATCAGGAATACTGCTGTTCTGATAGGTCAAAACAGTGTGTGATCCACGCGCTGTTCTTGATGACAATGGTGAATTTTACTGTGATTTTACCTGCTTGTCACTATACAGGGGAATATTAATTTTTCCTGTATTCATTAGATCAGAGAGAGGGTGCAGGTTAAATATGGCGGCGTGTTATATGCGTGTGTGTTCAAGGTACCGTAATTGAAATTGTAAGAAATAAATGTAATTAAAAATACCTCATTCAAGATTGCAGTTTTTTTAACTTTATCTAATTCATCCATCTTTTTTTTTAATATCTTTAAACTGGAACGTAGACTGTCTTTCTTCCAATAAGCTATCGTTGATTGTGCTACTTCCTAATAAGGAATAATTATCCATATTTATTATGTATAAACAAACACATCACATTGCTTTGTTTTTTTGGCTAAGTGGGTAAGACACTGGGTCGCTAGTCTGGAGGTCGCATGCTTGATCCCTGCATTGGCTGAGAAAGTTCATCAGTCGTTCGGATGGGACAGAAAATGTGCACATAAAAGATCCCTTAGCAGTTGGAATTTGATGTAAGAGTAGGCCATAGTGCCCCTGACCGAGCAAAATTTCCCTCATAGCACACTGTATGGCGTATGCCCATCTTCATTATCCCAGTATAGGAGCAGAACAGTTAAACACCATTTCATTTCATTTGATTGATTTTAACACTTGGTAAATGATATAACATTTATAAACACCTATTACATGATATATATAACGGTTATACTTGAACATTCAAAAAGGGGGGCATAAACGCTTTCCATGAAAAAATATTTGTCAGTTTAATGATGCGTCATTTGCTTTATTCGTTAAAACATCAAATTTCTCACATCTTAATCCATGCTATTTTGTACTCAAAATACCAATGCCAGATAACCTCACGGCTTGGATTCGATCGGATTTAAAACCAGCAGTTGCCATGCAAAATATTCCACACTTTGCAAGAGATGGATAGAAAACAATCTAAAAAAAAAACCCGCGGTTTTTCATACAATCAGGGGCCATAATCCAGGAAATTATGGTCTGAAATGTGCAAATATTGAAAGGGACCAAGATCTTTGGGATATAAAGATATGTTTTAAGTTTCATCAAAATCAAACAATAGTTGTGACCTCTAGAGGGTCCACTCCACAACCTTTGTATTACATACTTTAACACAATTTGTGTACAAGTAGCGGCCATTTTGTCCGTCAGTTTCATTTTAATTTTCCCGAAATTCGAATTCAACCATCAACATATATTTTAAGTTTCATTAAAATCTGATAACAATTGTGACTTCTAGAGGGTCCACAACCTTGGTATGACATACTTTTACACTATTTGCATACAAGGAGCCGCCATTTTGTCAGTCCATTTTGGTCCAATTTTAACAAAATTTGATTTCAACCGTCAATAGGGTGTAACGGTGATAAATTTAAATGGTTTTTAAAATTGAATACAAATTGTGATTTATAGCAGGTCCACAAGCTAAAAATACGATTTTTCGAAAAATCTGGGGCCATAATCCAGAAAGTTACGTTTGGATCTGCCTGATTTTCAAAAGGAACCCAGATCTTTGTGATATAAACATAAATTTAAAGTTTCATCAAAAACGGATAAAAATTGTAGCCTCAAAAGGGTCTACAATGTGATTTTTTGTACAATTAGGGGCCATAATCCATGAAGTTATATGGTCTGATACATGCCAATTTTGAAAGGAACCAAGATCTCTGGGTGATAGACCCATATTTCAAGTTTCTTCAAAATTGGGAGCGGCTATATTGTCCGGCAGTTTCGGTCAGATTTTCACGAAATTCGAACTCAACCATCATTATGGTGTAGCGGTGATATATTCAAACGTTTTTTTAAATCGCATAAAAATTATGATCTCTAGAGGGACCACACGCTAAAAACGTGATTTTAGTTCAACCAGGGGCCATAATCCAGAAAGTTACAGACCGATATGGGCGAATATCGAAAGGAACTGAGATCGTTGGGTTATAAACACACATTTCAAGTTTCATCAAAATCGGATAAAAATTGTGACCTCTCTAGAGTGTCCACAAGTTAAAAACGTTATCGTACAATCCGGGGCCATAATACAGACCGATATGGGCGAATATCAAAAGGAACTGAGATCCTTGGGTTATAAACACACATTTCAAGTTTCTTCAAAATCGGATAAAAATTGTGACCTCTCTAGAGTGTCCACAAGCTAGAAACGTTATCGTACAATCCGGGGCCATAATCCATGAAGTAACGATCTGATACATGCCAATATCGAAAAGAACCGAGATCTTTGGGAGATAAACCCATATTTCAAGTTTCGTCAAAATCAGATAAAAATTGTGGAGGGACGGACGGGGCGACGACAATATACGTCCACATGAAAATGTGGGCGTATAAAAACGCCTATTCAACAACAAAATGGCAGCAGGCGTATTACATAGCGAGCAACATAGATCAATGAAATTTCAATTCAACATTTGTGTAAATACTAAATGGAATTGAACCATTTTTGGACCGATATTGCTATTAGAGATTCATCTTTCACAATATAGCAAGTGATTCCCATTGCTTAAAAGGACTTTAATGAAAAGTGAAAAACAGAACCTTGACTTTTTATCTACTCCACTAATTTTGAATAAATTTAACAATAAAGTAAATAACGTTACTTACATCATCTAACTGAACAATTCTCTTAGTTAATTCTTTATCACTGATTGTTCTAGAATTATCTTCTAATATTTGTTGTAATTCTTTGACTGATTTTTCTAAAACTTCTACTTTATGATGAGATTTCAGTGCTTCAGAACCTGTTACTGCTATAATACGTCGAATTCCTTTTGAAATAGCATCCTCTGATACTATAACCATAGCACCAATATGACCAGCACGTCTTAAATGCCTGAAAATCATTGCAAGAAAATCCCTATACATTGTATTTTAAATTTTTACTTAAATAATTAATTTGGGCTTTAGCAGTCTAAAAAGTAATTAAGAACTAGTTACTCTGGATATTGACCATGGACAAACAGTACTTTTATCTGTTTTACTTTTATGGTTTAAATTTCAATTAATGTTATCCACTCTCCAGTTTTGTACCAGTAATCTTTAGGTTTTCAATGAAGTGGTTCAATTTGGCCATTACTACACTTTAAGAACAGAATACATGATAAAAGATTATTTATCATTAATGATCTTACGTTCCTCCACAGAATTCTACAGTTGTAACTGAACCAGCTGGTCCCATGGGATCACTCTCCATCTGTTCTACTGGTATACCAACAGATACAATCCGTACTGGATCAGGATACACCTATATGATAATATATTTAATAAATTCTGATATTTGTGTAATTCACAGCATTAAGTTAATTCCTCCTTTGAACGGAACATGCAATACTGTAGTAGTAAGTGGAGTTGAACTGCACTACACACAAAACAAAACCGAAAAGACAAACCTGCGGACAAGACAAACTAAACAGACATTACAAGAAATAAACAACAAATATCAATTCAAGTGAATGGATCTGGGGGCCTGCCATAAGCTTCCAGATCCTTTAATAATATAGGCTTTACTCAAAATGAAAAAAAAATAATCCGTAATCCGACCGGTCTTGACAATAGTTATCTTCTGAATGGCGATAGTCTGCCAGTTGACTCATAAGTTATAATGTCAAAGTTTTAGTATATGAGATCATTGAGTGAACATAATAAAACTAACAATAGATTTATTGATGTTAAATAGTATCCACTCTAGGAATATAACCGACTATTTTAATAAGCAGATAAATATTTATAGTATTTACCTCATCAAACACAGCTCTTAGACCCTGAATGGTTTTAGCGACAGATAAACTTGCTTCTTTAGCATAAACTTCTTCATTTTTAGACGCCATTTCATTAACTGTATCTTCCACTTTTTTAACTTCTGCTGCAGTCATTGCACCCTATAAGAAATATATTTGATACAACACATACATCATAATAATAGGCTTATGTTCAACTTTCTGCAAAACTTCTATTTTCTTTATCACATTTAATTGAAATATCAAAGTTGATCAGTTGGAAAAAAAGGGAAAAGAAAACAGATTACTTATGGTTTCATGTACAATGCTAGGGAGGAGAATTTACTCATACTGACTTTTTTACTGACAGAAATAAGATTCATGACTCATTTAGAATTCCCAATAATATGACTTAACATCCAATACCTTAGAAGTAAAATCAAAACGCAATCTTTCAGGAGCGACTAAAGAACCTCGTTGATCTGCTTCTTTTAATACACATCGAAGACCAAAGTTTAACATGTGAGTACCAGTATGGTTCTTCATTACAGAACATCTTCTTTCCTGTATAAATTAAATGGTCAAGATAAAATTAACTGTCATTCAAAACTTTTATACAGTTAAATATAAAAGAGAACTGCTTTTGTTTATCTGAAGTTAAAGTTACAATATTTAATTTCTTATCTAGTGAAACAGTTAGCAATAATTTCAGGAGCGGCTCAGATATATTTTAGTGAATATAACTGTCCGTAAAAAATTCATGGAAACATATATCCTAGTAGTGGGCAATTATTGAAGCTCTGTGATAATTTTTTAAAGAAATACAAACTTTTTATTTCCATGTGGTGATAGCAATAGGTCTCCAAATTCCAAGCAATATACAGATAAGTGCATAGATATGCACGTTTACATATTTGCAAGAGTTATAGTGGCAAGTGATCATATCAAATCACTCATATTGAAAAATGAGATTATCTAAATGACTTATCTAATCCTGTTAAGCAAATTTAGCAACTAATCTCTGGATGGCTCAGTATTTAATTTACTGCTATTTCTTCACATTATTGCATTTTAATTTAAATAATTAAACCAACTTGTGAAATCTGGGATTGCTCCTTTAATAATGTGATCTATTGCAATATGGTTCTGATTATCTACTTTTAATTTCATCCGTCAAGTTACACTTAATCATAAAATACATTAAACTAACCTCATCCACAGAAAGTTTAACTTTATCACCGACATGTAATACTCCTTCTACAGTACCTATGTGTAATACATAACCACCACGAACTTGTACATTCTTAATACGTAATTCTACCTCCTGCAACACAACACAATATTATCACATCTTGATGCACTACATTCTACTAAATTCAGACTGGTACTAAATGATTGTTAGTATACTCATAGATCTCACAAATGGTATAAACCTTTTAACTACCATATTTTCATATCCAATTAACAAATTTGTCGTTCATTTCTATGCGACTCTTCTGCCAAAAAGATTATTTACAACATTCAAGATTTTATTTCAATAATGTTAGCATTGCGGAAGCCAAAGAAATCCCAGTGGGGTCAGGCAGGTGACCCTACTCGCTTATAAACACTGCAGCAAAGCTGTGACATTTGAATTGACGACAGACATGATCTAAAGCAAAAACATTTGATAGCTCAATCCCCACATACAGGACACCAATAGTACCAGTTTTACTTTTTCAAAAATTCATTGCAATTTAAATATAAATGTTTGTGATAGTGTCAACTAATGCAATAGACTCCAAATTACCTCTTCTCCATCTTTAACCATAAAACCTTCATCATAGATTTGTCCACCTTGTTCAGCATAAAAGTTTGTTTTATCTAATAAAACACCACATTCCTGTCCTGTTGATACTGACTCTACAAATTCTTTATTATATCTTAATGCAGTAACAGTTCCACTATTTGGCTCAAATACTGAAACATATAACATAAACACTATGATGGTATACTGATTCTTTGAGCCAGAACTTCCACACAAACTGCATTTTTTAGAATTGATTTCCATATTATGTTAATCATGTTGTACCTGCAAGTGACATCACACAACAAATAATTAGAAAACCAGAAGACAAACATACAGGCATGATCAGAACACAGATATTGTAATTTAATAATAACATAAGCATGTCGGACAACGAATATACACCCACTAGCAGCATTTCGTAAGGTGGTTTCATGTTTTGGGGGTGAGGGGCAATAACTATGCATGAAAGTGATAGGTGACTTTGAATAATGACAAAATCAACCATTGACCCATAGAAAACAAGGTTTCAGTTTCAGGGAAACTAACGATGTATAGAATTGATGGGTTCGACAAGACCAAACAATCTCAGCAACGTTTGAAAAAAAACCAACCTAAAAACACTGAACAGTAAAGTGTTTACCAGAAATGGGGGAGGGACAGACAAACCTACAGATGCCAGACAGGGGTGTCAACAATATATTCCTGCATGTAAAAAGAACTATCAAATCAAGTGAATGAATCTGAGGATTGGATGTAAGTAACTGGTTGTTATCTTGTAATCATTCTACAGATAAAGAGCTCTTAAGACTGTTTTGCTAAACTTGCTGCAACAGTATGTTCCTTTGATAGGCTTGTCAAATGTTATCTAATTTTTCAGTCATTTTGACAGCAAGAAAGCATTTTCATACACATATATTTGAAAGCATTACAAATACAGTTAGACATATAAATCAGTTCAAATCTAAATTAAATCAAAATAAAATTTACTATAATTTCCCTGAAGATCAGCTGTATAGTTATATTTAGCACTATCATCTGTTGGAGGTATCTTTTTATTTTGAAGATCGTTTATAGCATGTACATCCAAATTAATCTTATCATCTATAGTTCCACCAGTACCTTGAGACAGCAACTAAAAATTACATTTAATATCAAATAAAATCTATTATCAATGCGGATACTTGTAAAACCTTGTCAAAACCCATGAGATAAATTTTATATTCCTCTGTACCGGTATTCAATATATTTAATAAATGATTTCTTTTTTAAAAAATTGGACTTCAATTAAACTATCATCTGACATCTATGACATACAGAACCTTTCAAATTCTGTTTAGATAATAGCTAGATCCTGAACGATAATATTTACTAAACAAAATATAGCTAACCTGAGCTTTCTTTCGAGCTTCTTCAAAGGCAACCATGTCAATATTCAAACCTTTTTCTTCAGCCATTAATGACGTAAGATCAACAGGAAATCCATATGTATCATACAAACGCCATGCTACATCACCTATAAGTTAAACAAATAATTAAACAAATAGTCAAATTACATCATAATTTTAAACAGATTATCAATACAAGTGTGTACGTAAAGGGGCCCATACACGTTCAATAATTCTGTCAATTATCTGTATTGGCCGATATATTTCGCTGTCAATGTCTGATTTCGGTAAAACCGAATAGATGTACAATAGATCTCAGTTAACGAAATGAAATGTGCTTTAACTCCTTACTGTTTGCATCGACTGGGCTAATGAAGGGAAATTTTGCCCGGACAACGGCGCTAGGGTCTATTTTTAGTCCAAAAGACTAGACACCGTCCTTGACAGGCTCTCCATCTTGCACCACTGACAACTTTCTTGGCCAACACCCTGGGAGCGAACCCAAAACGTCTTAGTCATTGAGCTTCTGTGGCTCCCCGATCTCATTTAACACATGTCTTTGTCACTACTTACAAAAATCATATTGTAAAAATCAATTTTCTAGAAGCTGTTAAATCAACAATATGAAATGTATTTCAACCATATAGAAGATTTTCTCTGAATTACAAAAAGTAGTAATATGAGAAGAGAGGTAAGTGATTGGGTTTACCTGGTAAAACATTGGTATTTCCTAATTTTTTAATAGTTCGCTGTAGCAAATGATGACCTCTTGTTAAAGTCTTCAAAAACTGTACTTCTTCCTCATCAATTATAGCTTTAACCTACATAATATAGAAGCTCATTTTATACTGACTCACATATGACATTTACTATTACTATTACCATGACATTTTACTTCAGTCACTTTAAAAGACCACACAACTTTACCAATATTTATCGACAAACATATAATAACAATTCATCTACTGTTCTCCCAAAAAAATACTAGGCTAATATAAATTAACTTGGCAAGCATTTTGTTTTTCATTTTTGGACATAAATTTCAAAAATATTGTGTGCTTACTGTTTCTGGATCTCTTTTTACTTCTGGAAAAGCATCTCCCTGAAATTAGAAAAATTGTGTCTACACTTCGACAATTCTTATATTGTGTAAATTTTGTTTTTGTATTTTTATAACACATACAAAATTTACCTTCTCCGATGACAATTTTCCAATTTGACGTGATTCAGAATCTTTATAAATAAAACTCACCAACAATTCAACAACAGTGTCAACTAGCTTTGAAAACATTCCTGGTTTACAGTTTAATTTTTCTGTACCATATCTAACAGCTCTACGTAATATTCTTCTTAACACATACCTAATATAAAATAGAACAATATTTATTAATAAAGCATTTCTCAACCGCCAATATCAATAAATTTAGTATTCAAATAGGCATCAGCAAATAATTTAAGAGGCTCTAATACATAACTATGAAGCATTAATATATAAAACAGGGAACAATATTTATTAATAAAGCATTTCTCAACCGCCAATATCAATAAATTTAGTATTCAAATAGGCATCAGCAAATAATTTAAGAGGCTCTAATACATAACTATGAAGCATTAATATATAAAACAGGGAACAACTTGGGAGTAAAAACAAAGCTCTGATTAGAATTTGTATGTCTCCCCAACCCCCCTCTTTATACACCCACATTTAAATTGGATGTTTATTAGAGTCACCTGCAGATCAGAGTTCTTCTTGTTATATTTGCAGGAATTGCTCATAGGGTCATAAGCAAGGATCATATCAAAATTCAGAATATTTTCAATCAAAAAGCACAGTTATCTCTCTGAATGCAATACAGGACAGAGTTCTACGTAAAAGTCATAAGGTGGAATCACATGATAGATCAAAATGTTTGGATCATAAATTAGAGTTATCTTTTCAGTCATAATCTAACATTTAAAAGCCTGTGAACGCAATACAGTACACAATTTGGGGCAAAAATTTCTAAATCCATATGGGTTGTTAAACAGCATTATCATGATGAAAGTTAGTTAATGACAAACTTATTGCCCTTTTAGTTTGTAGTTATCCTTCTATTCATATTTTGTCTTAGAAGGATTTGTTGACATTGATTTTAGAGGTAGTCTGACAAACCCATGTCTATGTTTTTGGTCTCCAAAAGTTATTATCTTTAAACCAATTCCACAAATACTACATGAAAGAATGGAGTTGATTAATATTTATAACACTATATTTTATTGTCATTTGTCATTTTATGATGATAAACAGTTTTTTGGCATGGTTTAGAACAAAGTTTTAGTATCATGTCCTCATATACATGTAGGACAGTTTAAAGTCTATATACCTAGTTACCTACCCTCTACCAGTGTTATCTGGTCGTCCACCATCTGATAATGTAATGGTAATAGTACGACTGTGGTCAGCTAGAACTCTATAAGCCATATCTATACCATCAACGTCATCTTTACCAACTTTACCTTCATATGGTCGTGTTCCTGTCATCTAAAATCATTCATTAAAAAACTTGTTACTATTTGTAATTAAACATTCTAATAACAAGATTCGTGCATGCTGTAACAACTCAATTTCATAATGAAAGTTTTCATTTGTTTATCATAACCACAATTTCATTGTTCCTACCCTCTTTATGTTTCTGTCTGCCAAAGAATATTTTTTTTCACAATCATCTTAAAATGTCATAAATTTTAATTGGCCATCTGGTACATGTGTGAACAGTATTAAAGAGAAAGAGAGAAAAGGGTTTACCGTGTGAACAGTATTAAAAAGATCCACTTACTTTATGAATGACATCAAATATAGGTGTAAATAAATCAGTATCATAGTTAGATCTTTTATCTTGTATTACAGAAACTAATCTCTCTAATCCTAAACCACAATCTATATGTTTTTTGGGTAGTGATTTTAAACTCCCATCAGGATCTCTGAAATGAGAAAACGGAGAAAAATTAAATAAAAGTTTTCAAACCAAATTCACCTATTTTCAGAACACATTCACCTATTTTAAAAGAATTTTCATTTATTGAAATATAATTATTTTATATCATGAATTAATTCTTCAATATTCCATACCTATTGTACTGTATGAAAACCAAATTCCATATTTCTAAAACATCAGGATCATCCATGTTTACTAGTTCCGGTACCTCTCGTCCACCTATACGATCATAATGAATCTCTGAACATGGACCACATGGGCCTGTCTCACCCATTTCCCAAAAATTGTCCTTCATATCAAATGGTAAAATTCTGTTAGCTGGTAATCCAAGACTGAGCCAAATATCTCGAGCTTCGTTATCAGGTTCTAATCCAGTTTCTGGTTTACCACCAAAATATGAGACATATAAACGGTTTTTATCTAAACTTAGTCTGTCTGTTAACAATTCCCATGCCCAGGTAATTACTTCTTTCTGAAATATCATTTATTCACTTTAAGTCTAAAATCATGATGAAAAATGTTATTTTTAAGGGTTATTTATTAAATAAATAACCAGTAATCTGCATTTTAGTAATCAAGCTTATTTCTGGACCAGGAACTGGTCATCATGCACTAGTTACTTATCTTCTTTTCATTCTTCTTTGAGATGAAATGAAACCCTATGAAAAAAGCCTAAAGCTCCAACAATTCAAGTTCGATCAATGATATATATAATACATCATAATTGTTAACATGCATATACATGGAACTCACCTTATAATAATCACCAAAAGACCAATTGCCTAACATTTCAAAGAAGGTATGATGATATACATCCTTGCCGACATCATCAAGATCATTGTGTTTACCTCCTGCACGAATACACTTCTGTGAATTTGTTGCTCGAGTCCATTTGGCCATATCACTATTTGGATCAACAACACCAAGGAATATTGGTTTAAACTGAAATGCAATATAGACTATTTGAAACCTGGTATATACATGTACCACTGCTGCCTAAAAGTCAATTTTGTATGAGAGATACATGTATCTTTAGGTCAATATAAGAATTTAAGTGTTAGCTTCTGTCAACAATCCATGTTGAGACCTTATTATATATATCCTGTATCGAGTTCACATACTTCAGAAGTAAAATGTGAATAAAATGTAGGGAGAAATAACTCCATGATTTACACTTGAAATAGTCTTTATCTTAATCAGGTTCCACACTGACCTAATCTACAAATCTGTAAAAAATCGTCAAAAACTCTGACATGTGGAGTGTTCACAACACATTGTGGATGGATGACAGACAAATAGGTGATGACCATATTATGTCCACATTAATTGTGAGAGTATAATAATACATCCATCCAAAATTGCACTGCATAATGATGTGCCAGGATGTTAATACAACAGTACTGTCCGTCAAACAGGAGAATACTGTTATAGATGGGTGTATTTACAGATTAAGATATTCTATAAGATTTTACCTGGTTCATACCAGCATTTGTAAATAACAGAGTTGGATCATCTAAAGGAATGGTGGATGATGAATGGACATATGTGTGTTCTTTTTCTTTAAAGAAATCAATAAATAATTTTCTAACATCGCTTCCGGTCTGGTTAGCCATCCTGCCAAACTAAAACCAAATATTTTGCAAGATAGGCCTGTAATGAAAATTTTTAAAAAAGCATAGGTTAATGAAGACAGGCAAGTGCCATACAATGTGCTATGAGAGAAATTGAGTATAGACTGCGGGACTACAGCTGACTCTAACTCTAAATTCCAACTGTCAAGGTTTTTTTTAAGTGCACGCCAACATGAACATGGTACCTTGGTTTTTCGTCCCATCCAACCAACTAGACATTTTCCTTATCTGACCGAGGCGTGAACGACAAACCTGGTTAGCGAGCCAGTATCTAACTCACTGAGCCACTGCGGCAACCATGAATTTCTTATGACAAATTCTTAATCTCAATATAGGGTTTCTACTTGGTATTAGTTTTTAAAAATTTCCTCAAGAATTCTTGACCTGTATCAAGTTCATGTGAATTTCTATATTTGAAACTAATTTGCCTGACTTACAGATAATAATATATTATTCTTCAGAATCAAATTCAATACAAATTTTTACTCAACTTAAAATATCTTTTTACTTTGAAGTTTACCTAAACTTAAACAGTAAATTTTAAATAATTTTAGATACATGATCTATTTATATTATTATTAAAGCATTTCACAACATTTCGTCATATTCTTTTTTTAAGCTTTGTACTGTAGGCTTTATACTATTACAGCCAATTTCATTGTTTTATCATATTATATTATCATTATACATGTATCAGTATCAACTTCATTAGTGAAGGCTAAAAATGTCAATCTTGTATCAAGCTTTTATCTATGGATGTAAAAAATCCAATTCTACATCATCATAGTTACATCACTCCAAAACCATGTGAGAAGGCACGGACATCCAGTTTCATTCCGAGCGTGAACTTCTTGGCCACGTGTTGTGGGGGTTTTTTTTTCATACTTTGTGTGCTATTTTTCTTGGTAGAATTGCTTCTTGGTAGATTAGACACTGTTGGTCAAGTTGTTTAAGTTCTACTGTTTCGTTTCACTATTGTGTAGTTGACAAAACTGCTGTTTTTCGTTGGTTGCTACGCTTTTATCGACCAGATCCTGTGTTAGCCTGTCTCGCCAGAAGAACAAGCTTTTTCAGAAGATGAAATAATTAGTGGGGGTACCCCTATTTCCAGTGACACACTTGGAAAACAAACTAAACAACCTGGTGTGTTATCAGTTCAAGATACTATGAATCTTATGTCGCAGCATCTTGAGATTATGGGACAGGCTATTTGTAAATTAGCCAACAAATCTGGCGGTCACCGCCAGTCTTATTCTGAAATATCAGAGACAAGCTGCAGACTCGAGATCGTCTAGAAGTAGAAGCATCAGAAAACGTCCACATAAGGAATCACTTAAACAGATTCCTAGAGTCTCTGCTCATAGATCACCTTCTCAAAAGATACCAGTCGGTCTCTTAACCTTACTTGTTCTGATTCTGATGATTTTCATAGAAGCAGACAATCCCAAGTGTGTACTGTACCTGTAGGCCTACTACTGTAGTGGACAAGGAAGCAGATACATTGTTAGATACAATTGATAAAGAATTTTTTGGTTCTGAAAAGACAGAACCAAAACTGTCATCTAAATTAGCCTCTTCGGTAAATAGTCTGTTTGCTGAAAGAATGACTGATATATTGAAGAAAACATTGGAGAAATATCCTAGGCCTGAGAATTGCCCTAACAAAGTAACCTGTCTCAACTGTCTGTTGTTCAGAGCTGAACTAGGTTTGGGCTTGATGGATTTGATCAATCCAGGCTATGGGATAAGACAATCTAAATTGAATTTAATCTATAACATTTGATAAATATATATAAAGATCTTAGTCGAGACTCATTAAACATGTTTTTATGCAAAAGTTATTAGACCGTGGAATTCTGTATCCGAATGATGCAAGCACTTGTTTATAAACAGAAACAACACATATATATAATATATTCCATTTATAGATTCATTTTTGGTTTTATTTCTGAGATCTCAATTTTATGATACATGTTCTATAATGTGTAAGTGATACTTACAAGTTTCAATAACTGATTTTGTCACGATCTAAAATTGAGAAGCTCAGTCTGTTCAGTTTTGGACCAACGTGGGCTAGCGGTTTATGAGAAATTCGTCTACAAGTGTTATACACCCGCGTTGTATTGATCGACCCGGGGTACTGAATTTTATAGGGGATTTTAAAGCAACGTCCGGTTTTTGTAGTTAAAGTAGCTAAGTCTCTAACTCAATATCATCCAAAATCTTCAACATTGAAAACACGATTTATTTGTCAAATTAAATCAACATTCATGTTGTGATCTTACCGGAAAAAGATGGGCTTTTGATATCCAATATTTAAGACAAAATAAACATTTTACCATTGTACACGAATCGTGTACCATAATGCGCTTCAGCCCCGTTGTATCAAGAGACTCGAGGGACGAGGCTAGACACATTGCACCAAATCAAACGGCGTATGTAGACTGGAATAACCAGACGCTAGAAATTTGCACTTGTTTGTGACTGCTCGCTTATTTCGCCGAACATAACCGATTTGAAATTAGAGTAAAAACGGAAACCATTGAATGTAAATCAGTTTATATATACTATTCAAAAAAAGTAGGGGATATTTGATTTTGGGGGCATAATACTAAAATATGCAAATGACTACGAAAAAAGTCACTATAGAACCTAACAGAAGAAACATTTCCAGTTACATGTGACGCCCAAACGCACCAATAGCTACCGCATGGAATGCAGGTGATGCTTGGGATCATCATGGGGGTCCAACCCAAGATTTGTAGACTCTGACTTTGAATGTTACAGTCATTGTGGCATTGAATTCCAGGGTGGAAACATCAGTTTAATTGTTTTAGTGACCAGAAAACAAATTTTGATATGCGTCGGCTTACCCAAAATGAAAGGTTACGTGCCCTTGGCATGCTACAGATCGGCACAACACAGGCGGTTGTGGCGCGGACGATGAATGTTTCTCAGTCTGTCATAAGCAGGCTATGGTCCAGATACCGTGATACACAATCTGTACAGGACAGACCACGCTCAGGTCGACCAAGGGTGACAACTCAAGCCCAGGATCGATTTATCCGTACCTTGGCCTTGAGAAATCGTGTCATCACAGCAAATCAGATCAGCGCTCGTCTTCAAACAGACACTGGTGTGAGAGTGAGTGGCCAGACGATTCGGAATCGACTGCATAGGGGTCACCTTCGCGCCCGACGTCCTCGCGTGATCCCTTGTTTGAGAGATCATCACATTCAGGCAAGACGTCGTTGGTGTAGGGATCGTCAACACTGGGATAATCGACGCTGGAGCAATGTGATGTTTTCAGATGAGTCAAGGTTCACTGTTGATTTTTTGGACAGACGTAGGAGGGTGTGGCGTCGTCGAAACAAGCGCTTCCAAGACGTTAACGTCATCAGACATGATCGATTGGGGGTGGTTCTGTTATGGTGTGGGGAGGCATCACTGTTGCTGGAAGAACGGCTTTACATGTTGTTGCAGGGCGTGTTACAGGCCAGTACTACCGGGACAACATCTTGGCAGTCCATGTTGTGCCGTTCGCACGACGTCATGGCCGCCGTTTCATCTTCCAGGATGACAACGCAAGATGTAACAGGGCCAGGATCGTTACAGGTTACCTCCAACAACAGAACATCACCACATTACCTTGGCCAGCACTGAGTCCCGACCTCTCCCCCATCGAGCATGTCTGGGACATGCTTGGACAGAGGTTACGTCAACGTCAACAACGTCCTGCCAATGTCCAAGAACTTGCTGCTGCGTTGCAACAGGAATGGGACAATCTGGACCAAAATGACCTTAGACGTCTCATTAGGAGTATGCCACGTCGGATCAATGCTTGTTTGGCAAACAGAGGAGGATTTACCCGTTACTGACTTGGTTGTGATGCTGTGGTAACTTTGCTGTTTGACCCCGGGTATCATTTTACCCTTATAATGGTCAGTCTGTGCCTTACTTAGTCTAACGATCATTTGGCATAAATCGATGAATGTGAACTTCATTTCATTTTGTCATTTGTTTCTTCGTCAGTTTCATTAGGTGACTTTAATAACACTTAAAAATCAAATATCCCCTACTTTTTTTGAATAGTATACATTCATATTACAGTATTATATGCGTTGCAACCCACTTTTGTCAATTTCTAGCTCCTTTAACACTAACAGTTAATCTGTATAGTGATTGCCCCACGCAGACATAATATTATTAGTATGTCTATACACAGGAATCTGACCTTCCAATCGTATATATATGCATACACCATACCGAACTAGACAATATATAATAATAATAAAAAAAAAAGAACAGGAATGCAATGCCTGTTGATGAAGCCTTGATTTTACCTGCTCTCGCTTCGGCTCGTTTTTTTTCCCAACAATCTGCATGAATACCCCCTAACTACGAGAACGTAACTAAAAACGCTGAGATATACTGATGTGCTTGTTTTTAGCTACGATTGGATGCCTATTTAGTTCCAAGTGGCAAACTCAATTTCTTTATTAATGTATGTACCATCTTAAAAATAAGTTAATTTTATACTATTAGTACTTATTACACATACACAGTCCAATCTACTCAACAACATTCATTTATCAGCAAATATTGACAATAAAGTAAATCAAGCGTTTTATCAAAATTACGGCGTATTACTACTGCGCAACTCTGATCAGATTAGTACTTTGATTGGCTATTGCACACGAGGCCCCGCCTTTATGTGTTACAGACAAAAATTTAAAATGTCCGAAAAAGACTGTCGCTTTGATTTAAAAAGAGGGGATTTGTACCCATTTCAGGTTGGATTATATGCTTAATTGTAGTTGGGTGTGGCAGGAATATTTATAAATAACAATAATCAATCATTGTTTTGAATAAAAATATTGTCAATTTTGTTTACAAATGCCAGGTGTGAATCGCTCCCGCATGTGCTACTACGTTGAAGGTAATAGCATCATCTCTTATCTCGAAACACGGAGGGTTGAGAGATAAGGTTTGTTATCTAAAATAGTCCCCACAAAACGATATCATAGCCACTTGTTTCCAATATTTACATTATTTTTGTTCTTTGATGTTCTAAAGTCCATGACTCCATGTATATTCAAACCCTCTTCTTCGGTTCTACACCCAAAAGTCAACAAAAATCGCCATGCAAAAGCCAAAAGGGGGAAAATGGAAAGGGAGAGAAAAACTAAAAATATCTTTGGCCCTTGTTTCAATGGTCTCGATTGCGGATTGATTTTGTGTGACGTCAGCGCATGGAATCAATGACAGGCATTGCATTTCTGTTCTTTTTTTATTATATGCCTACTAGTTCGGTATGGTGTAATATACATATATATATGGATAGAAGGTCAGATTTCTGTGGTCTATGCTACCTCCACGTCCCTGCAGGTCTGGAACGCCAGTGCTTAAGAGAGAGAAATGTCACAACCGTATACACAGGACTAACTATAAACTGAAACATGCATGCAAGGTCCGCAAGTCACTGTTAAAGTAAACAAACGCGAGCGACTGCCGTTCCATTTTGACTGCGCACATATTTCTACGAACTTTAGTGATCAGAAATTCCAATCATTTTTTTAAGGAAAGAATCTCAATTAGTTTCCTATATACATCCATATTACATTAATATGTGCTTTTTGGTCCATTTTCATCTGTTACAAATGGTGTGTGTGTGTGTGTGGGGGGGGGGGGCTGGATGGCTGAATGGTTTGCACATGCGCGCTGTATCATAACAAATAATGTTGAACATAATCAAATAGTTTAATCTTTTTACTATATACAATAATATACTGTTATACAGTATAAGTAAGGCACAAAAAATAATATCCAAGTTGGTTCTACAGAAATCCCATCTAATTCAACTTCATAAAATTATCAACATCGTTATGCTTTCAAAAACAAACTATGAAATCAAGTTACACACAAATAGTTAAAAAAAAAATCTTACATATAGATTTAACTCTAAATCTTAAAAAACGAAATCTACATGAAAAGTAATAATAATACTGTTTTAAGAAAAAAATCTTCAAGTATAATGATCATCATCTTGATAAAACCATCAATGGTCTTTTACTTACAATGCTTACTCTTTTTAGAACATCTTATATCACTTCTCATTTGAGGGGTGCCCATAACCATAACAAATGTTTACAGTCCATGTATTATTACAATTGTCCTTATGGCCATTTATAGTCATAAAGTTGTTTCTATGTATTAAAGACATTGACGTCAAATAATCATCCAAGTAAGTGACAATGTAGAATTTCAAAACTAGATTTTGAGAAAATCAAGGTTAAAAATGAGTTATTGAAAGATAAAATTTCCTTAGCAAAACCATTCTTGGAATATATAAATGAGGTATTTATGAAGCTTTTATGTGAAGATCTGAGAGTCGACCAAAATTTACACATCTTTTTATCATGAGTGCTAGCACAATACAGGCCTATGCGACTTACTACCCGTTTCGATGTGATGGGTCACATCTAATTCAGGTCTTATTTCAGAATTACATATCATGGAACAATACAAATATTTAATCTTAATATAGCTTTGTAACAAGAACACCACATAATCAATCATTAAAAGATGCATGTTTAATATTATAGATATTATGGCTAAGTTTGCCAATATGGATATTTGAGATAAAATGTAACTGTTAAAATAAAAATTATCCAACAAACATGAAGCTTTGATCAAGAAAACATAATGTCTAAATAAGAGTTCCATCTGAGATCATCAAATGCATTTTATTAGTGCCGAACCAGTTTAACATGTTTAAATCCCATTTACAAAAACTTATCATTTGAATGAAGATAATATTTACTGTGTTTAAAGATATGTCCCCACAAGGTTATTTACCTCAACAATTGCAACCTGTAACTTTGCTTCTAACAGAAAATCTAATATTTATCAGGGCTTAAAAAATATAATGATTGACTGTGAAAGTGGTTAAAATGCTCATAATAACTCGTATAACAGTATATATATTTTCCTGGTAGTTGGGATATGTCCTCTAATCATGTAATTATTAGAATCTTGGATATCTTTAAACCAAAACAGAAGCAAACATATTTCTCCCATACTTTTAAACAAATGGGCTACATATTAAAGCACTTTTAAGCAATTCTTATTCCCCATGCAAGAAATAATAAGTAACTATTATTCAATGGCTTGATCAAATTGATTGCGGAGCAGGAATCTTTATGAAGTGCAAACAAAATATATTGATCAACTTGAGTAGATGACTTGTGATGTACAATTTGACATAGCCGTTTAGAACTAAAACTTGCTTATTTCAATAGAATACATTTTTGTAAAAGGTTATATACTGAAAGAAGCTAACAGGAAGTTTCACCTTGGTGGTTAACTTGATTTTAAATCATTTATCAACTGATAAGCTAGGACACTGCATATACGGAATGAGGTCTGAAAAATAGATGAATTGAATGATTACATTGGTAGTTTTGTATTGTTTATACTGAAATTATAAAGAACATAAAAATTAATGTGTCTTGAAATTAATATGAGATAAAAGTAGTTCGACGTAATTGCATATTGAATGCAACCTATCGTATCCTACTATTTTCGAAAATTACAGATGACTGGCTTCTTGCAAGTTTAACATCATTGTTATGTTGTTACAAAGGACATTGGATTACCCTTTCACCCAATTTATCAACATTTATTATTTGATTGTTAGGAAGGGTGTTTATTTTGTCAACAACTCCAATATATATATGGGATAACTACTCCATTCTTTATTTGATTACGTAAATGGAAAAGATATATGCCTTTTATCAATGTGACTATCGAAATGGTTCATACATTGTTTTTAAGTTTCGTCTAATTATAATACAGTAACTTACAATCAATCATCAGCTAGTATTATAATGAGAAGAGATCCCCAGCAGACGGTAAAGGGGCCAAACCACCAGTTACATCTGGTAATAATGTTAAATCAGGTAAATTCTGTACATGGGACTTTAATTCATGACGTATAGCATTCATTTTAGATAATTTTAATCTATATTCCTGAAATGCAAAAAAAAAAAAAAAATAAAATAATACATCCACATAGATTCCTTGAAATAAGACACGTCATTAACAAATTCCAGCTCAAATGGATGTTTTTTCATGTAAATTCATGCTGAAACATAGAAAATCTGGATTTCCCCTCCCCACCCCCAAACAAGACCTTATTTGAAAGTAACTGGTCGGTATTTGTTCAAGAATAGCTAACAGGGGCTACTAACACCAATCAGAAGAATTTGTTTAACCAGAAGATACAAAGGTTAAACGTACATTATGCAAGAGCTAAATCTGTCTATTGCGAGTCTTTATTTAGGCTTCAGATGTTACAGAAATTATTAATTAGACCTTTATTTACACGACAAGCTCAGAATCAACTCTGTAGACCCATGGATGGCTTCGATACAGTTTGGATTTAAACAATTGTCCATTTAAAATTAAATCAATAAATAGCGGACCATTAGTCGCTGATGTCACTAACGGAAACTGGTGATGAAAGGCCTGCCAAACGATGCTACCATAGCCATTGAGCATGTTACTTGATAATCAAGAATATATGGGTGGAGTTATCATCTGTCAATCAAACCATCGCCAATTTTCATAGACGGTGCAGACACAATTGATGTCTATTTCTAGTCCAAACTTCCAACAGTGACAATTCCGTTCAGAGCAAAGTAATTTGATTGAAATTTTCTATTTTTGAATTATTATAGCAAGAATGGCCAACTCTTTATAAAACTCTTAACTAATGTATCTTTAACAGAAACCAGCAACACCTGTCAGAAGACTTGACCCCTGCAAATATATCTGGGTAGTTTCTTTATCCAGAAGATATAAATTCAAGTTTCATTTCTAATTAGTTCTTTAAAACAACAATATTTTACTTCGAAAAATAATCCTGAATATGAGGATTGTAGATTGTTAGTTGTTTTAAACCTGGTACCCTAATTCTAATGATAATGAATATTACCATAAGTTTAGATTCCACATGTTGTAGCTGTTCTTTCTGTGTTGTAATAAAATTACGTAGCATGACAGCTACTTGTTTTCTCTCTTGTAATTCAGCATCTAAACGTACATTATACTCAGCTAATAATTTACATGCTTCATCCACTGTTGCCGACAGGTTATCAGCCGATTCTTTATCTACAAACAAAATATTCATTTATAACAGCCATTCAACAAGGATAAAAATCCAAGAAGACCAGTATGGTTTAAAACGCACGTTTTGGGAGTGGAGGTCCCTACCCCTATTAAGTTTTTAATAGTTATTTCAAAATGTCCAGAAAAGCATGTCCAATGATAAAGCGATCCGTGTTAAAATTTAAAACTGATTTAAATCATAATGTAGTGATAAATCCATGCAATCCATACTACATGCCACTTAAATATTACTAGAAATATCACCATTATTTATTCTCATAATTATTGAATTGGATTTCTTTTGATCGCAGCCATGGCCAACTTTTATTACCCGTCGTCATATATCAGGTCATATGACACCAGTTTCGTGTAATGTGGATTTCAAGAACTGTTCATGCAGAGTTGATAAATTGTTTTCGAAGAGTTCATAGTAAAGAAAACTTTTTCAATTTCAGTTAGCTCTTAATGGAATCCCACATACTGAATGAACAGTTCTATAATTAAATGTTGCATAAGAAATGCTAGTCCTAAAACATGATTTGAAAATATGAAAAAGAAGAAATCAGTTAGAATGGTTTGAACATAATACATGTACCATTTAGGCTATAGAATATAATGGTAAGGTATAATACAAACCGGTAATTCTTTCTAGATTAGACATATCAGATACTTCAGGTGGTAAAGCAGCTATTTTTTCTCGAACACCAGCATCACCAGAGGCTGTAGTTTCTAAATCTGCCAACCGCTTCATTAATTCCTCAGCCTAAAAATATTGAAGTAATAAAACGAAGAGATGCATTATTACTTAGTATTCACACAAACAATCAAAGACAATTAGACAAATTTCTCCTGACTTTTGGTCACATCTCCTTTTACATGTAAAGTACAATGTTGTCAACAATACAATACACAGTCATTGCTTGCAAAGATATGCATATGGTGCGTGTCTAATTATACACATTAGACTTGATTGCTTATAACGTCTCCAAGTAACAGTAAGCTGTTTTTCATTTTGCTTCTCATTGGGTAACTCCAGTTCATGGCCACATTTTCGGTAATGGACTACATGTATTATATTAAAAATACATTATGCAAGAGCTAAATCTGTCTATTGCAGGTCTTTCTTTAGGCCTGAAATGTTATCTAAATTATTAATTAGACATTAATTATCTTATCCAGACTATGATCAACTCTCAATGTCATCGCTAGCCTGCAATATTTACTGGATTAGGATCCAATTTACTGCTCAACTTTCATTCATGATTTATTCATGAAATGGATAATCGAGACTATGTTTTTTTTATCTCACCGACTTTAATAATGATGATTGAGGCTAGGCCGAATAGATCAATTTGACTGAAATTTTCAGCAAATTCCCTTTACATTATCTAGTTTTTAACTATTATAGTGAGAACTGCCAGCTCTTTATTTAATCTTCATAATGTATCTTTAACTGACAAATGTATAAATTAAACTAGTTCATATGAGATTTCAAACAGACTTATTCAGCTCCTTTTAACTTAAAACATTGACTTATTTGTGTGCTAATAATAAATGGTTCATAAGCACCATAATAATGGGAATGCAGTACAATTCTGAAGCAAATATTAAGCTAATTAGACTTAACGTACATAGTAACACATAACATGTATTACAATCTTATATTGTTACTCTTAGACAGACATGTAATAGTGCTTGAAGTGCTTGACATTTTAACCTTGGATCTGTGCTGGACAAAAATGACAGACACCAGAGGGATTGAACCTGATAAAGTATGAAATTGTTCCCGACATTGTCTATGACATAAACATTATTTCATGACATGTCATAATATCTAAGAGACTAAGTAGAAAGTGTCACGGGGGATCATGTGGCTAAGTGGGTAGGACGCTGGCTCGCTAGTCTGGAGGTCGGGTGTACGATCCCTGCATTGGCCAAGAAAGTTCATCCAGATTTTCCGGCGTGGTTCTCCCTTGTCAGTGATGCAGGACAGAGGGCCTGACAAGGACAGTTGTCTAGTCGTTCGGATGGGAAGAAAAACCGAGGTCTTGTGTACATATTGACGTGCACGTAAAAGATCCCTTGGCAGTTTGAATTCAATATAAGAGTAGGCCATAGCGCCGCTGCCCGGGCAAAATTTCCCTCATAGCACACTGTATGGTGTATGCCCGTCTTCATTAGCCCAGTTTAGGAGCAGAACAGTAGGACGTTAAACCCCATTTCATTTGATTTCAGAAAGTGTCATAATTGTATATTATGTATTCTTTTATTTGGTTACAAATGTTTGGGCTTGGAACCTAAAGGTGATTCCACTTTAACTAAATAAAAAACATTATCTATTAGTATACATAAGCTTACATCTGGTTTGACTGGATCTTGTCCTTCTAACAGAGCATCTACTTCTTCCTTTAAACTTAATATCTGTTTCTTCTTTTTACTGGGTGGTTGATCTGATTTACTATCTGTAACAAATTATGTACTCCTAAGAAACTAATAATACAATCGTTATATTAATACCATATTCAGAGTGCTCAACTGGAAAATCCTCAGCTATTTCTATAACAGAAATCAGATATATACAGCAAACTTCGCATAAATCGGATAAGTCGGATCTTCGCTCAACTTGGATAAAATCGTTTGAACCCTTTGATCCTGCACGTTTTTCTTATTAAATTTCTGCACGTAAGTCGGATTTCCCAAGTCAGATCATTGCTCAACTCGGATCAAAATGTTCGGTCCATTTGATCTAATTCCGTTTTTTTCCTTTGCCTAAGTAGGATCGGCAGTATGTTCAGAATTTGACTAAGTCAGTTTCGTCTCCATGGTCTAAAACGTGGTTAGGTATTCCATGCAAGGAGGCCCAAAATACTTTCTCCTATCATTTTGACTCGAATCAGTCTATTTGTTGCGACGCAATAATAGAATTTTCCCGGAAAATTCGAAACTCGCTGCCTGCTGTACGAGACACTTTCCAGGAAAATTTGGGACATTTTTCAAAGATGGCGACAAAACGGAAGTTATCTACTCGCACCAAAACGGAAGTTATCTACTCGCGCCAAATCGGAAGTTATCTACTCGTACATACGAACAAAAGCTTGAAATGTGCCTTTGAATCAATTATTATCCGGCTCTTGCAGTTTATTTCTAATTGAGCTAAGATTGAATTTCAGACTACGGCTAACTCAGATCTTTGCTCAACTTGAATAAACTTGGTCAGTCCACTTTGATCTGTTTTATGCAAAGTATTATGATATGTAAAAATAGAAAATAATGCTGAATATAACATTTTAAGAAAACACAATGATCAAAGGTATTTGGTGAAGAGATTCTAAACCCCTTTTGATCCGAGACAAAACATCAATAAATATTTACCTGTTTTAAGGGAACTTTTCCGACTTGGTGTTTTTTTCTCAGGAGGAGGAATGTAAGATGTTGTTGGTTGACTTGGTGAACCAGTCAACTGTTTTTGAAGATCAGCTACAAATTCTTTTTCATAGACTCCTCTCTCTCCCCAAATAGCCAAAACTCTGCCAACAGATCCTTTTAGTTTTTCATCTGTTTCACTAAAAAATATGTTAAATGGTACAAATACACTGCTCTCTGCCCCAGTAAATTCTGACAATCATTTGTTTCACTTGTAATTAAACATACTTATATAGATGTAATTTGATTAAATGATTGAAAGGTTTTGAATGCAGAAGATGATTCCTCCGACACGGTGTACATGTATCCAATGGTCTGAACCTACCAGAAATAAGTGGAGTGTCATATCTCATTAAGGCATATAAGTCTGCGAGTTCTATTAAAATGCATTATATCCACAAAGTGCACTACAATGTTTTCATCAAGCATGATCTACTGGGTCTATGTTTTATTATGACAATATACACTACAACTCAGGTATCATTTAGTTGTGCTGTTTTAGCAGGCATTTCTGTATGTAATGCTTAGTTTCAAACCATTGTTGAAAAACTGTTCAAATCTGTAGAGAAACAACACAACTAAATGAAACCTGAGTTGTAGTGATAGGTAAATACACGTATATGAAGGCCATAATCCTGAATAAAGGCTGAATGATAATAGCACTTTCTGTAATAAAAGTTTGGCCATGTTCATCATTACATATACATGGCTATTATTCTACCAATTAAACCAAATACTGATATGACTATTAGTATTTTACCAAAACTAATCAACTTCAATCTTTAAAATATATAAATTAATTTGAAAAAATTGTGTAATTTAATTGTATCAATAAACTAATATTGAGATAAGCACAATGCAATTACTGTTATCCTTAAGTTTCCTGATAATGAGGCTGATGTCCCCCGCCAAAATCCCCAAATAAATAGATGACACATATTAATTAATCACACATTTATTTTTTTCAAAAGTATTGAGCAATCAAACTACACACTAAGTTTCATCACTCTCTATCAGATAGAATCAAGATTATCTTGTCCCAAAGCATCGACTCTGCTTAGATTTAGCTTGAAATGTTAATCATTGAAATCAGTCAAGACATTCACCTAATGAACATCTACATCAGGTTTAAACATTCTACCTCAATTAAAAGCAGAGTTTTTATGTTCCAATGTCTCGACCAATCAAATTGCTTATCGCTCCTTAGCCCAGGCAGAAAATTCAGACAATCGAACTTAGTCAAGGTAGTGATATAATGAATCTATATTCAAGAGTTTCATCGCTCTCACTTCATTATAACCAAAATTATCAACCAATCAGATTGCTTATCTCTGCCTACCGTCAGCAGACAATGTTCATCATCGAACTCATCAAGGGATTCCCCTAATGAATGTCTACACCAAGTTTGAACATACATGTACTACCTCAATTAGAAGGAGAGTTATTGTGTTCCAAGTCTCAACCAATCAAAATGCTTATCGTTCTGCTTACCCTCAGCAGAAAATGTTCATTATCGAACTTAGTCAAGGTATTGATGTAATAAAGCTATACACCAAGTGTCCTCACTCTCACTTAATTAGAACTAAAGTTATCGTGTCCCAAAGCATCAATCAATCAAATTGCTTATCTCTGCTTACCCTAAGCAGAAAATGCTCATCTTCGAACTTCATCAAGGTATTGACCCAATAAACACCTACATCAAGTTTGAACATTCTAGCTCCATTAGAAGGAGAGTTATTGTGTTCCAAAATCTTGGCCAATCAAATTGCTTATTGCTCTGCTTACCCTGAGCAGAAAATGCTCATTTTCGAACTTAGTCAAGGTATTGATGTAATGAAACTATACACCAAGTTTCATCACTCTCACTTAATTAGAACTAAAGTTATCGTGTCCCAAAGCATCAATCAATCAAATTGCTTATCTCTGCTTACCCTAAGCAGAAAATGCTCATCTTCGAACTTCATCAAGGTATTGACCTAATAAACACCTACACCAAGTTTGAACATTCTAGCTCAATTAGAAAGAGAGTTATTGTGTCCCAAATAGTGTGACGGACAGACGGACGAACCCATTTTAATAGTCCCCTGCTTTCTTCGAAAGGCGAGGGGACAAAAAGTTGTTTGACTTACTTAGAAATCACTTTCATGGAAGATGGCAAAACAGTCATAAAATCTTTTGTGAACTCAGGTCCTTTCTTTTTACTGTTTTGAATGACATCATTAGCTAGATAAACAAACACCAGTTTCTTACTAATTTTAGCTTCAAAAGAAAAAAAAAAGTTAATGTAAATAAAATCAAACCATTCCCCCGTCCCTCGTTACATACTACATAACAATTAACATGTTGTGGGGGGAGGGGTCTGCTGATGGGGATGGGGGTGGGGGGGTAGGGGGCGCCACACGATCATATCACTCTTTCTGGAACAACATGTGGTAAGTTTATATAACACAAGCAATGTTAAATAGTAAGAAAATGCACAAGCCAGCAAGACCAAAATAATAAATGAATTTTGAACTGATACTTCTATAATAAGCCACAAGCCCAGAGAGCGCTTTGGTAACAACACATTTGTACATTGTACTACTATGAAGTCTGCACTCTATACCGCATCGCAGTAATCTACATCTAACTCTAATCCATGTACTAGGCTACTCGCAATGAGTCAGTAGTTTTGTTGACTTATTGCGAATACAGCAAGGGTTAGAACTTGTTGTGATTTTGTTGATGACCATAACACATACGGTGTCTATTGAACGGGGGTCCCGTTTCAACAGCTGTTTATAACAGACCAAAGCTAACCAAACTACGCTATACCGAAGTTCCTGTATTACTACGCTGGGATATAAATAAATTTGACCGTCTGCCAATCGGTCTTCAGTTTTTTCAAGTACAGAAAAGTGACTACAAGTCACAGAGATTAATTACGGTAATTGGATTACTTTTTACGGACATTACTCGGCTGCCAAGTTGGTTGACAATACAACAAACTTAAACATACATTATGCAAAAGCTAAATCTGCCTATTGTAGGTCTTTCTTTAGGCCTGAAATGTTATATAACCTATTAGACATTAATTAACGTATCATAACGTAACATAATCAACTCTTGATGTCAACGCTAGCCTGCGATATTTGTTGGATTATGATCAGATTTGCTGCATAACTTTCATTCTCGATTTAACGATTAAATGGATAATCGAGACTATGATTTTTGTTGTATCGACTTTAGTAATGATGACCGAGGCTATGCAGAACTTTTGATCGCTTATTTCTCGGTTCATAATGAATCAATTTGACTGAAATTTTCAGCAAAATGCCTTTACATTATCTTGTTTTTAACTATTATAGTGAGAACTGCCAACTCGTTATCTAATCTCCCATATTATAATGTAGTTTAAGGTTATCCCCATGCAGCATGTCTGGCTGGGAGTGTCGAACTCTTAAATTCTAGCCACACTAAAACTGCTACTTATATGCAACCGACGAAAAACCCATTTACTATGAGTTGAACAACCCCCCTCCCACCACCACCCCAGATCTTGTTTGTGCTGCGAGTGGACGTGTCAATTAAATTTGAGTAAGACCGTACGTGAGCAACCCATTTCAGCTCACTTTCATTTTAGTCTCTCTTTAATCTTACCTTTGCACATTTCCCTTTGCCATACATCTACGATGGTTTTAGAATGCTTTCTGTGATGTATTAACCATAATGATAGCGTCTGTATGCTCTGTTGTGTATTATTGAGTTCAGAAAGCTTCTTTACAAAATTCGCATCTGTGAACGACGACATATTACCGATCAGATGGCAATTTGTTGTTGATCTTGAACCGGAAGTAAATCTAAACCGGCCCATTCTATTTTAGGGGTGTAATAAAAAAAAATGAAATATAATATAATTGTGCAAATAACAGAAGCATTTCACGAGTATTCTATTAGTTAAAACATTATCAGAATTTAAATTTAACATTAAAATATTTACAAATATTTATTTATTGTTGAAATCTACGCTCTAATATATATTTATTACAGGAACTGATTTAACCTACACCCCTTTAATTTAGATGAGTCCATCACTGCAGCAGGCGGCGCTTTCTACATCCTATGCCGTGGAAGCATGAGAGTAGAAAGGTTTTGTGTAGTGGTATACTATAACTTATAGTGACAAGAACTTAGTTAAAATGCCGTACGCCAATCAACCAACTGTCTTAATTACTCAACTAACAGCCGAAAATATAAAGTTTGTCATTGAGGATACGGATTTAAGGTGCATTGATCGCCATAGCCCAAATAATAACTGAATATCCTTTAACTATATAAATTAAATAGCACAATAATGAAAAGTAAAAGATGACTATGCAAAAGTATGCCTACTTAAAACTAGTGTTTATTACATACACCTGAATCAACTTGATTCAGAGCCATTCATAATTAATCTTTACTCAAAGTCAGAAATAATGAAATATAGACCTCCCCTAAGAACGCCTTAGCCGATCGAAAATGCTCTTCTTAATTATTTTTTAATGCCCCCCCCCCCCATTTGCTAGTGACTGAATGCATTAAATGACCTAGATCCACAAATTCGCTCCATGAATTCAGTGGTTATCTAATTTATGTAATCATTAGACTAGATCATTTGCCTGGGGTCCCAGAAATGTCCAAAATTCAAAATATTGTATAATGTAATGACATGAGAAAATAATACCGGTACCATCACAAATAATTTCAAATTAAGTTTTGTTTTTTAGAAAGTCATTATTTTCCCCTATTGAAGAGACATTATTCAAGAGCTAAATCTGCCAATTGCTTGTCTTTCTTTAGTCCTTAAATGTTATATAAATTATTAATCAGACATTTATTAACATAAGACCATAATAACTCTTGATGCCATCAAATGGCTGCGATTTTAAGTAGATTAGAACGGTTCGGCCATGTAATGATTTAATTTAAAAATGGAGAAGTAATGTAATGAGAAAATAATACCATTACCAATAATTTCAAATTAATTTTTGATTTTTAGAAAGTCATTATTTTCTCCTATTAAAGAGACATTATTCAAGAGCTAAATCTGCCTATTGCTGATCTTTCTTTAGTCCTTAAATGTTATATAAATTATTAATCAGACATTTATTAACATGATAAGATCATAATAACTCTTGATGCCATCAAATGGCTGCGATTTTAAGTAGATTTTAACGGTTAGGCTAAGACTAATAATCAGCACCATGGTTACTATAATAAACATTCAGTGCAAACAGTGATTACTTCGTTCAGAATAAAGTAATTTGAATGAAATTTTCAATATATTCATTTTAGATTATCTATTTTTGAACTATTTTAACAAGAATGGCTAGTTCTTTATCAAAATCTTACATAATGTACCTCAAAACAAATGTTTTATGTTTTCATTGCAGTGTTGCAAATGCATTAAGAAGAGTTTGTCATGCTGAAGTACCAACAATAGGTAGGTGTGTACCTAATCAAACAAGTTAGATGTTACACTTTGATATATAACATCCGAACAGTCAAAAGCTTGGTGCAAAAGTTGATAATTAGTTTACTCCTTTCAGCTGATGACTAACACATTAAATTTATATATCTGGTCCATTTATTTCACACAAAATATTTATATATCCGGTCCATTTATTTCACACAAAATATTTTTTAATATCCATTTAACAAGATTTCCAAAAATTCATCTGCGACAAGAAACTGTTAATCATTAAACAGGGAATGACCAAGTTTTACTTGGGCAAATTCGGATTCCACACGGTACGAAATTTATCTCTTTTTCATCTATATTCAATATTGATTAATTTACTTTGTTATTGTACTGATTTAAATTCTCCGTCCTAAAACATAGTGTCTTAAATACTGCAACATTAAGCTTATATAAAATTATATTTCATTTCAAATAAAAATTTTAAGATTTCATGTTATATATATATGCCAACCTATCCGGACATGTTTGACGATTTTTCATGTAGGAGGTCTTGGTGAATGTGATTTTGGATAAACATGTTTTACTGGACAGCTATTGCTTGTCAATGAGTTTTATTGTTGTTCAATGATTGCTCATGCAATAAGCCAGGACACGCATTGGAAATTTACCGACTGACACCTTTCAGCTCAAGAGTAATTGATATGCCAAAAATTCAGGAGGAACTTGAAGACCTTGAGGTTGCATGTGAACAAAACATCATGGCAGCCTTGAGTGTGTGTACCTTGTATGTAAAAAAAAAAAAAATTCAGTCTGAGTTTTTATAGGCCCACATTGAAATGTGATCGTACATCTGTATAGTCTTTATCCCTGTCCTTCTGTCATTCACAATTTATTGTGTACATTATCATCCAATCTTTTTATGTTTCTTTATTGCTCTTGATCACTTTGTAGAATCCTGTGAACAGGTTAATGACAAATACTTTATTTTGACCTAGATCAGAAAGAGTTATCAGATTCCTTATATGTATGTTATGTACGTATGTATGTATGATTGTCCTTTTTTTTCCTGTGAAAAATGGCATCCTGTGCGATTTGTTTTGAAAAGATAATGAGATTAAAAATTCTTCTCATCAGACACAATTCTAATCAAATGTGGATGTTGTACCCAATCAATATTCAAATATGTGAACAATTACTTAACAATTAATAATAATCTAATGTTTTTTCAGCCATTGATTGGGTACAAGTGGAAGCCAATTCAACTGTTTTATTTGATGAATTTATTGCACATCGTCTGGGATTAATACCTCTTACCAGTGATGAAGCTGTTGATAAAATGCAGAATAGCAGGGTATAAGAAAATTTATGTATTTTGTAATCTTCTTACAAAATGTACTGTTTGCATACTGAGCATTGATATGTTTAAAGAGAGAAGGTTATAATTACTTGCCCACTATCTTTGATATATTCCTACATTTCATGTGGGTGCATAATATTGTCCTTATTGAAAGTTATTGCTCCTGTCAATAAAGTCTTATCATAAACATGTGATCTTCAAAGTTACTGGGTAGGCCCTATATTTGAATATGCGGGGGTGGAGGGCAACTTATTGAAATTGAAAAGTGTTTTTGACACAACGTATTGAAATTGAAAAGTGTTTTTGACACACTTATGACTGCCTTCAAAATGCTGATTTTCAGAGTAAATTCATGATCCGACAATACTATCTTTTTTCTATGATTAAATGCTTAATAAAATGAATTTGAAGTAAAAGGAATATAAGGTGCCATGTTTTGTTTGAGAGTGACTAACTAATTTAAATAGTTTCTATTTTGTTGATTTCCAGGACTGTACGTGTGAAGAGTTTTGTCCTGAATGTTCTGTTGAGTTTACGTTAGATGTTAAATGTATGGATGATCAAACACGGCATGTTACCAGTGCTGATCTCATATCAAGTAATCCTAAAGTTATTCCAGTAAGTGTACCTTTCTCATTATCAACTTTAAAATAATCGAAATTGATAGAGATGACAGACAAATGAAGACAACACTGGTAGGGAACTAATAAATAGTTTTAACTTTATGACAGTGGTAGGTATCTACTACACACAAACTGTGAATATAATTCTGTTTAGAATTTAAGTCATAAAATAAAAATTTAGTAAATGCATTCTTTTTAATCTGATTATGATTTTATAAGAATAATGAAAACATTACTTAATACTTATATATGTTTATATAATAGTAAATAGTAAAATCTATTAAAATATATTTTATAAACTTAAGAACTACTAAATATATTCCTAACAAATCATTTGTTTAAAATTAACATTGTAATAAATCAACAACAACAATGCGAGTAAAAAACAAAACAATAACAGTTAACGATTGTTGAATTCTTCAGCCTCGGCATGAATATTTTGAACCGAAGGTCTATCAACTGGTTCTGTTTTTAAGCACTGCCACATGAGATCTGTGATGTATGGAAAACTATTAACTGGTGGAGGAGGGGGCATCTCCCCTTCCATAATACTCATGATAACAGCAAAAGGGTTGAAACCTTCGCGATCATAGAAAGCTGGATCTAAAGCCAATAACTCATAAATAATACATCCAATTGACCAGCTGAATGCTTTCTCATCTGGATCATTTCTTGTGATGACTTCGGGTGCGTCATAGACAGCTGCAGCTGCTCCCATATCTACATTAGTAACCTCCTGATCATCTTCTTGATCATTGATCTCAATAAATATGCCACCAGTATCTGTGAAATGGACATTAGAGGTCGTAAGGTGACCTGTTGGTGAAGGGTTTTTAGTAAGCACATGATCACAAATAGCTCCTAAAACTTTCCATATAAAATCTTCTTGAAATGTGGTGTTATCAGCTTTACACCGTAATATAACATCTTGTAGAGTCTCGGTTTTAGCATAGATTATAAACTGTGTATCACCTTCCTCAAACATAGTTAGATAACTTGGATGACTTACGTCTATTGAACAACCTACAGTAACACAAATCATGTCAAGTATATTAATGTGGTGGTAATGTTTTACTACACACAAACATATTTCTCTGTCAAAAATAAAAAAAATCAGCCTGAAAATCCTGGGGAGCAGCGATGGCTCAGTAAGTAAGACGTTGCCTTGCTAACCATAAGGTCATGTGTTCGATCCTCGTGTTGGCTGAGAAAGTTCATCAGGATTTTACGGGGTGGTTCCCCCTGGTCAGTGGTATAGGATGGAGGGCCTGGCGAGGCACAACGTATAGTCATTTGAATGGTGTGAAAAACCCAAGTCCCTTTTACACATTGGCGTGCGTGTAATGACTAATGAAATGAAATGAAATGGGGTTTAACGTTCTAATTTTCTGCTCCGACTGGGTTAATGTAGGCGGGCATATATACCATAAGGGAAATTTTGCCTGAACAGCGGCACTACAGCCTACTCTTATATCGAATTTCAACTTCCAGTGTACACAGGGCCTTGTTTTTCTTAAAATCATTTTATATAATGTTACCTTTCGGTTGAACTTTAAGAATAACATCAGAATCAACAACAAGACAAGTAGCTGGATAGGTGTGAGTTAAATGATTTTCACCATTTAACATATCTGGATCAATAACAAAATCATTCAGATGCATTGTGCTAACTTTGGCAGCTATTCTATTAGGTAGTGGTAACTTAGTTAAAGCCTAAAATAACAACAAAAAAAATGAAAAAAAAAATGAATGTACTTGTTAGTAGTATATAAATATAAACTATAATATGTACAACAACATAAAATGTTTAGCATGCTGACTTTGAAGACATACAACTTCCCTATCTTCATACCAATATTTATGTGGACAACACTATCTTCACATTCTTAAAATACCAGACCTCATGATTTGGGAGGATCCACAGGGGCTGAGGTCCTGCATTTGATCCTGGTGTTGGCAGAGTATGTGCCTTAGGACTTTCCAGCTTCTTTTCACCCATGGCAGTGGTGTAGGGGCTTGGCAAGCTGGAAAAAGTGTCTAACTGGACCTAGGTCTGGCCTTGCACTCTTTTGTGTGCATGAAACAAAAAGACCCCATGACAATTAGAATTGAATGAATAGTAGGTCAAAACACCACTATTTGAGCAAAATTTCCCTAATATTATACATGTAGTTATAACATGCAGAAGTGTAGGATGTTACACCCCATTTCATCTCTCATAATTTTGTTAAAAGATAAAAGGTTTGATCTAATTTGCCAAGTTTGTATCCGTCTATATTGAGGTAATGCTGATTTTATATTTAACAATTAAAGCCCCCCCCCTCCCCTCCCCTCCCCGCCAAAAAACCCCACCAAATTTGTAAAACCAACTAGCGCTTTATCTTTTGAGATGGAAATTTAAACGTAAACAGCTTGTCCAATCCCCAATTGAAATAATACTCAGATCAACTCAGTTATTCTCCCCTGAATCCTAGAAATTTAAAACTATAAATATCAAATTTAAGAATACTACATACCTCATTAAGACGTTTTAATGTGACTGATTGTAAGACAGACCTACGACACTGAGCTTGTAATGAAGATGGATTGGTTGTTTCATGAAGATGTATTATTGCCTGTGTTATTGGATTAAAACTTTTCTTCATCTTTCTGCAATGAAATATTTGATTAAATAAGCTTACTGGAATTATATGAAGATAAAAATGCCATATGCAAGAATGTAAAAATATTAGGCGTTTTTGTGAACCGATTAGATTAGACCGATTAGCTATTATACGCATTTGTGAACCAAGTTGATTATGCTAATCGTTACATTTGTGAGACGATTTAACTCAACTGATTAGGCAAATCGACCTAATCGTCCCAGGAGGTGTTTAGGCGATTAGATTTGACTTTTTCAAAATGGCGGAATGTTCGACGTCGTAAGTAATTTTTAATGCTTATTGATGTTTTTCTCCATAAAAAATGTTTTTTTTTAAACGCATTTGACGTGTTTAATGCTAACTTTATAGTCCACAAGAATGTTAGATCACCTTTAAGCAATTTTATTCATTTACAGTTTTTTCAATATATTCCTCGATCCTAGGTTTTCTCAGGACACTTTTTACATGTTTTGTCACTTCAGTTTTCCAAAAAATACTTGAACTTGTTGGACATAGGAGATTGTTTCTAACGGCAACCGTTTTTCCTTTTTTGCGTAGATAACCTTCATTTGTCTTTAACAAGTCATCAATAATTAGCAGAGACAATTTTTTTTTTCTGATCGGTGTCCGTGATGGCAGCCATCTTACAAAATCGTAATTATCAAATTTCACATTTGTGGACCATAGCTAATCAAATCGAAATCATACCAAATCGTACTAGCAAATCAAAACCTAATCTAATCGACTCACAAAAACGCCAATTGTTTACAGTCTAGCGGCTAGTTACAGTTCTGGATTACGACTCTGATCCAACCTTGTGGGTTTTCTATCGGTCCTCTGGTTTATTCTCACAGCTCAAAACTGATGTGTGCAAGTGAATTGTTGAACTAAAATTAAACCATGTTAGTCTTGAAATAACCTAATTAGTGTAGAGTGGACCTTAAACCATTTTTCTCCCTCTTTAACGACAGTGAGAGGATGAACTTAATTGATTTTAAAATTATGTGAGGAAGGAACCATGTTGATTTTTAGGATTGTGGGACTTTCTGTGCCAGAGATATATTATGGGTCCGGAAAAAAAGCTTATTTTCATTTCCTTTTGAGACACAACTGCTGTGTGGGCATATATATTCATGCTTTATGTCACTATCTTATTTTCAATTTTAGGTGGTTGAATGGTTTAATGCATGCACAAGGCCTGTCATTGATTCAAGTGGCATGGTTTTGATTTCCCACTTGTACGTGATAAGGAGTAGAGTCGTCTGTCCACCTCTGGGTTTTCTCCAGGTCACCCGATTTTCTCCCACAGCTAAGTCCCCTTTGTGCAAATGAATTATGAAAGAAAACTGAACCATATGTTAGTCCCGATATGACCAAGTTTGTGTTGAGTGGTCATTAAACCCTATTTCTCTCTCTCTCTCTCTATTTACAACTTCGTAAATTGCAATAATCTTTATGTTAAACACCTACCTGGATTTAATTGGACAATATGTACAAGTGATAATACAATGACAGGAACCTGTTAATGGAATGTGTAGCATAAACCTGTAATAGATAATTTATTAAATCCACATTACAACAAAACAAATATGATTGTATCCAGAATTTATGGAAAAACATCAAAGACATCACTGATTTTTATGACGGTTCGGATTTTTGATAATTTTACAACCTATCTGCTCATGGATCTTAGAATTTAAAGTAATGTTTGTTTTTCAGGTAACATCTAAACACAGAGAAGATGCAAGTGAATTTGAAGAAACTGACGGTAAGCTTATTACAGGGCATGATTGATTCAATCGTCCCCACCCACAAAACTCAAACCAACTACAAACACATTGTTTATATTTAAATAACAAGATTAGCATAGATAATGTACGTAAGATATGATGGATTTGTACAAATTATGGGCACAGCTATAACCATGTTCAGGCATTGTTTTTATATTTTGAGTAATACACTGTCTTTGTCTCAGTTTTTTGCATTATTCCAGTATACCTTTTCCAAATTGCTTACTCACTGAAGTCATTTCCCAGATAAATGGTGATAAAATTATTTTATTAGTACCAAGTAAATAATTCTGTCCAGAAGTAGAACTCCAATCATACTCCTCATTATTTAGGAATAGTCATTAATATAATAAGCTTTGTTGTTTAAATGGCACTTAGAAATTGACAAGCATTTCCATATAGTTTTTTGGTTGTACATTTGTAATGACATTGAAAGCTGCATTTTGTTGTTTTAACACATGTCCATTGTATTTTAGATATACTCATAGCTAAATTAAGAAAGGGTCAAGAGTTAAAGATTAGAGCATTTGCTAGAAAGGGCATAGCTAAAGAACATGCTAAATGGAATCCTACTTCAGCTGTATGTTTTGAGTATGATCCTGATAATGCTTTACGCCATACAACTTATCCTAAACCAGAAGAATGGTAAGCTCTTGGAGCTGATGCGATTCTTCTTATATAACTTCTTATATAACCAGACTTCTGCTTCATCTCGTTTGTATTCAAACATTTTTTTGCTTGTAATATTCAATTGATTCTGACTATTAACATTAAGTAATTATTATTAACTGTGAAGAAGTGTGACTTGTATTCTTATTAATAATTATAAATTATGTAAAACAGTATTTATTTTAAGTATGCTTTCATTCTGCATGCCTCAAACTCTGAACCTAATCAGTAAGTTGTCAGCAGATCATCCACTGATAATAAAACTGAAAATAGGGTAGTGTTTTTCTGTTTATGTGATCCACAGATTCGTACATTATCATTTACAACTATATCATTTTGAATTATTTCAATTTAATATGCTTAATTACTGTTCACAAGGGAATTGCACATCAGTAGGTGACTTTTTATCATGTGAACCTGTACTTATGTTGTTATAATTTTTTATTCAGGCCAAAGAGTGAACATTCAGATATGATAGATGATGATGCACGTAAGTATAATAAGCATTGCTGTCCCCCGCCTTTCGAAGGAAGCAGGGGACTATTAAAATGGGTCTGTCCGTCCGTTTGTCTGTCCGTCACACTTTTTGGGACACAATAACTCTCCTTCTAATTGAGGTAGAATGTTCAAACTTGGTATAGGTGTTTATTAGGTTAATGCCTTGATGAAGTTTGAAGATGGGCATTTACTACTTAGGGTAAGCAGAGATAAGCAATTTGATTGAGCTAATTAATATCTGATCATTTCCCGGCAACTTTTAATCTTATGATCCAGAAACCACAACCAACAAGAAAGACTTTAACATATCGAAGGTTTAAATCATTTGACATAAATAAATTTAAAGCGGAAATAGTGAACTCGAATTTCAATGGCATTCAACGTATTCAAGATATACAAGAGAAGGCAACCCAATATCACTCAAAGCTTGCTGAAATTTTGGACTCGCTTGTTCCTCTTCAAACGAAAACATTTACTATTCGTCCCAATACGCAGTGGTTTAATGATTCTATTTTAGAAGCCAAAAGGGACCGTAATAAGGCTGAACATCTGTGGCGGAAAACAAATCTACATGTCCATAAACAGATTTATAAATCTTTAAAAAACAATGTGAATAAATTAATTGAAGATGCTAAAATTAAATTTTACTCTGATAAAATAGAAAATGGCGAAAACAGACAAAAAGACCTGTATAAAGTTGTGAATTCCCTTTTGGACCATAATGCTGAGCGTACTATCCTCCCGGACAATGATAATGACACTGAACTTGCAAATTTATTCTCTGATTTCTTTCAAATAAAAATACAGAAAATACGAACTGAACTTGATAATTTAAATAAAACTATTGACTTTAACGCTCATGATTTTGATAAGTTAGAAAATTCTGTTTATTTAGAAAATTTTAACTTGGTTTATGAATCTTTTGTTTTAAAGCTAATTAAATCGTCTGCTCCTAAATCTTGTTCATTAGATCCTGTTCCGACTTCTGTTCTTAAGGACTGTCTAGACGAAGTTATTCCAGTTTTTACCAATATTATTAATTCTTGTATATCATCCGCTACTATTCCCAACGTTTTCAAACGAGCTTATGTTACCCCTTTAATTAAAAAGTCTACACTGGATCCTAATGTTTTTAAAAATTACAGGCCAGTCTCTAACTTAAGTTTTATTTCTAAAATATTGGAGAAATGTATTGCTTCTCAGATAAAGGCCCATCTAGATGATAACTGTTTGTATGAACCATTTCAAAGTGCTTAAAACAATTTCACAGTACCGAAACAGCTTTAACCCGGGTTTCAAATGATATTTTAATGGAAATTGATAATAGAAAATGTACATTTTTAATTTTATTAGATTTATCTGCTGCTTTCGACACGGTGGACCCTTCCATTCTTCTACGTAGACTTCAATTTAAATTCGGTATTTGTGGCTCTGCATTAAATCTTTTAGAGAGCTATCTTGTGGGTAGAAAACAGTGTATTTTAGTTAATTGCAAATCGTCGTCTGAATCTGTTTTGTCATCTGGGGTTCCCCAAGGTTCTGTTCTTGGTCCGATTTTATTTACCCTCTGTACGTCACCATTAGGAGATATTGTCAGAAAATATGGTCTCAGCTTTCATTTGTATGCCGATGATACTCAATTATATATTTCATTTACACCTAATTGTCCATCTTCTTTCAATTTATCAAAATTGCAACTTAAGAACAGTATTAGTGAAATTAGAAAATGGATGTCAAAGAACTTTCTAAAATTGAATGATGATAAAACCGAATATTTGTTATTAGGCTCAAGGCATCAATTAAGTAAATCTGCACAAGATAACCCCCCTGTTGTAATTGGTAATTGTGATATATTTTCATCTTATTCTGCTCGTAATATTGGCGCTATCTTTGATAGTTTTATGCTTATGGAGCTCAAGTAAATAATGTTTGTAAATTGTGCTATTTTAATATTAGAAATATAGGTAAAATACGTAAATGTGTAACTGTAGAGGCCACTAAGTCACTTGTTAATTCTCTGGTCACTTCTTGATTAGATAACTTTAATTCACTTTTAGTTGGTTTACCTTTAAAGCTTATAGATAAATTACAAAAAGTTCAGAATACTGTGGCTAGACTTGTTACTTTAACTAAGAAATGTGACCACATAACTCCTGTTTTATATAATTTACACTGGTTACCTGTTAAATATCGAATTGATTTTAAGATTTTATTACTTACTTTTAAATGTTTAAATAATTTAGCTCCTGTTTACCTCTCAGATCTTTTAGAACTTTATACACCTGGCCAAACATTACGTACATCAGATAAACTACTTTTAAAGCCCAAAACTGTTCAACTAGTCTCCTATGGTCAGCGCTCTTTTAGTTATCAAGCACCTGTTTTATGGAATAATCTACCATTTAGTTTAAGATGTTGTACATCTCTGTATTCTTTTAAAAAACAACTTAAAACACATTTATTTAATCAGGCTTTTAACTGACTCTGTATACAATCGTTAACATGCCCATAATCTTGTTGTTTATGTGTGATATACATTGTCACTTTGTAAAGTGCCCCTGAACATGTTATATGAAAGGGTGCAATATAAATATGCTGTAATAATAATAATATGCTGTAATAATAATTGAGCTAGAATGTTCAAACTTGGTGTAGGTGTTTATTGGGTCAATGCCTTTATGGAGTTCGAAGATGAGCATTTTCTGCTTAGGGTAAGCAGAGATAAGCAATTTGATTGGTTGATGCTTTGGGACCCGATAACTTTAATTCTAATTAAGTAAGAGTGTATAGTTTCAAAAATTGAAACTATACACTCTTACTGAAACTATACACTCTTACTTAATTAGAATTAAAGTTATCGGGTCCCAAAGCATCAACCAATAACTTTAATTCTAATTAAGTAAGAGTGTATAGTTTCAATTTGAAACTATACACTCTTACTTAATTAGAATTATTGAATTTAGTCAAGGTATTGATGTATTGAAACTTTCAATACATCAATACCTTGACTAAATTCAATAATGAGCATTTTCTGCTTAGGCTATATGATTAGTCAAGACTTTGCTTTTAATTGAGGTAGAATGTTTAAACTTGATGTAGATGTTCATTAGGTGAATGTCTTGACTGAGTTCAATGATTAACATTTCCCACTAAAGCTAAGCAAAGCGAAGCAATGATTAACATTTCCCACTAAAGCTAAGTGATTTCATTCGTCGATTTTTGAGACAAGATAAATTTGATTCTAACTGATGGAGAGTGATGAAACTTAGTGTATAGTTTCACTACCAGGTACTTCAAAAACCTTGACTGAGTTTGATTGTGAACATTTTATGCTTAGATTAAGTATAGATAATCATTTTGATTGGTCAATAATTTTGAAAAAGATAAATGTGCAATTAATTAATGTGTGTCATCTATTTATTTTGGGAATTCAGCAGGAGACATCAACCTCACTGTTGGCATGTTTTTTAAGTTTTCTTATTTATGTACAAATACTGTTCTTGTGACTGAGGAGAGAGGGTAATCATATAATTACAAAAATGATTCATTTTTACAATAGCTTTGTAATATTGATCTTTGTTATATTTTTACCAATATTTAAACTGAACGTAATTTGAGGGATTGAACAACCCCTAGCAAATTGTAATATTGTGAAAGGTGCATTTATCAAAGTTATATCAATCCAGACATGGTTCATCTTGGTTGAATATTTACAATGATATGATGAACTGAAAATTTGTCATTCTGCAAATGATATAAACAGGATTTGGTCAAAACAAGCTGGTGTCACCTATACTTGGCTCAAATCTTCTGATGTTAGTAGCTTAATGTATACAGGTACATCCACATATAAAAGTCCACATCAGGAACATTTCCAATGTTGTTAACATTCTCTTCATCTTTTATTTCAGCTGAAGCCCCATTTACACCTGGTGTTAAACCTAACAAATTCTTCTATAATGTTGAGTCTTCTGGTGCACTTAAACCAGAAACTATTGTATTTTCTGCTTTAAATAATCTCAAGAAAAAACTCAGTGATGTACAAACACAACTCAGTCATGAAATACAGATTGATGTGTTAACTATATAATAATACAATATAAAAACATTGTATATAGCATCTCTCATAAAAACATGTATTATGAGGTGGGGGGGTCTCATTTTATGGACAGTGCCGGTGAGAAAAATGTTAAAAAATCCCATTTATAAAATCACAGGGAAAACACTCTATTAAAGAGGGGTTGGGGGATGGCCTAGTGGTCTGGAGTGGCGTGCTTGAAGCTCTAGCTGGCCAGTCAGCTCTGGCTTACGGTTGTAGTTTCAATCCCTTGTGTGAGCGTATGTGGATTGGAGATAGGGGTGCCTTCTCAACCTCATGGGTTTACTCTGGGACTGGGTAATTAGTTTCCTCCAACAAGAAAGACCCCTGTGTGTATGCCAAGATGATATCACCCTTGATGGAAGCAGACGTTAAACACTAATATAAGACTCTATGAATTAAAGGAATTAACTTGAGTACTGGTAAGACAACTGAAATTGTGAACAACAGAAAAAACCCTTTGATGCAAAAAGCTTAAGTCAGGATGTCAAACCAATAAAATTATATAAATAACTATTCAAGCCTTCTTTAGTCATTCTTATCTTACTATTAAGTGATATAATTTTTAATAATACCATATTATAATCCATACACATTTAATTCTCGGGTCAATCATCATCATCACATCTGTTTCATTCATATGTAAATAAAGATGTAATAAAGAATGCAAGGTTGTTGTTTCATATGTTGGTTTCGAATCCCCAGTTGTACGTGACAAGGAGTAGGATCGCCTGTCCAACCTCGTGGGTTTTCTCCGGGTCCTCCGGTTTCCTCCCACTGCTAAAGACCCCTACGCGCAAGCGAAATATTGGAATAAAATTAAACCATATGTTAGTCCCGAAATGACCTAGTTTGTGTCGAGTGGACGTTAAACCCCATTTCTCTCTCTCTCTCTCTCTCTGTTTCATATGTCCACATTTTAATGTGGTTATACTGGTATAATTGCGGTCATGCTCATGTTCATCAGTGGTCATTATGCATTGTTTAAATTAGTGGGATGAAAAAGGCTATTAATTTCAACAATTAAAGTAGCCTACTGATAACAACTATTGCTGACATTAATAGGGGCTTGTTTTGTTAAATTCTGGCAGCTGCAGTGACCGAGTAAGGCACTGTTTCATTAACCTGGAGGTTCATTGTTCAATCCCTATGTCGTCTGGGAACATTCCCCATATTTTTCAGCATCGTTTCCCCGTTATCAGTAAAAGCGTCTAGTCAATCGGAAAGGACGAAAAACAGAGATTTTGTGTAGGGTTGGCATGCGTGTAAGCTAGAATTTAGTGAAGAGTTGGAGGAAACCAAAAATTTCAAACTGCACACTGCATGGCATTTTTGCCGGTTTTTCAAAAGACTAGTGTGTACAGACAAGTAATATTATTTTTTATTATGTTAAAACATATCTTATTTCATTGTTAATTTCTATAAATATCAAAGACGTCTACCCCCCCCCCCCACATTCATCAAAATAAGTCGACAAAACTACGTGCGAAGCATTGCCGCCGTTTTGGCCCCCCCCCCCTCCACTCTAATTCTGTGTATGCACCTAAATGAGTAGATATATTGTCCTGTTTTATAAAATTCTCGGGTAAACCCGCCACCGCAAATTTCGGAACAGGCCCCTACTAAGAATTGTTGTAGCAACGGCAAAACTACTATAATAGTTTGATATGTGTATACGACGCTTCATAAAGATATCTTGAACGGTTTATGAGATATGCACCAGAATAGTAGTTACATACCGAAACAAAGCCAAATTGCCCAACTAATATAATCGTTTGTTTAGTATACAAAGTATCAAAAAAATATCTTGAACGGTTCATGACATAAGCCCATTTCAATATCCCTCCCTATCTCTGGAGCTTATCAGTACGAATGAGATAAAGTCATTGGATATTATGTTGCCCGTCTTCGTAGCTTTCTGTCGCCCGTAATCAGAAATCGTATAAGAGCGGCGCGGGTTTTGGTGGTTCGCCAAGAGCGACGCCGGGTTTTTTTTGTTTTTTTTTGTTGGCCTCGTATCTGTTTTTTTTTTTGGCCCTACCTCTTCCCTGCCCACACCTTTGTTTTGTACATATATTTCTATTAAAAGGGAAACCACACTGCTGGCTCTGTTATTGTTGAATTTCATTGATAAGGTTACGGAAGCTGATAATATTTTTGGTAAAATCAAATATTTTGTTTATAATCAGGCCAGTAGCTAGCCCAAAAATGTAGGGGGTGGGGTAATGGCTTCTGGGGGCGCCGATGTACCCACACTTTACGGTCCACGGCGAACGGCACCGTAGACGCGCCTCCCTTTTAGTGTCCTCTTCCCCCAGAAAATTTTGGAAAATAGGGTTTGCACGTGAGTAAAGGAACTATGAATATGAAGGAAAATTCCAATTTTAGGGCGCCTAACCATTTCACTCGGCAAATCTGTTCTTTAATAAAAAGATATCGTGATGATGAAATCAGACACCAAACTTACCTCTTGTAGTTTCCGACAGATTCTCCAAATTTCGCGTTAGCGATAATTGTGATGTCATACCTGGAAAACGTCATAACGTATTTGGATTTTAAGCACCAATAACCATGCCCTTCCAAAAGCTTAACTCGGTATTTTAATAGACACTTCTATATGCAGTAATACATCCCTGTTGTTTGGGGGTTTTTTTTATTGAATGTGAAGGCCTATATTTTTTGGTCCCACAAATGTTTCCAAAACTGAACAAAATCTCTAAAGACATAAGCACCGTGTAAATTTAAAGGGCGGGGTCGTAAATACTTATATGACCATAGTAATTATAAATATACCAATACTTCAAAATATATCGACACGTGGCACTTTAACCCGACAAGTTTACCTTCATTTGTAACAGAAAGTTCACAAAAAAAAAAATATGTTACTGCGTTCCTTGACAGAGCATATTGGAATAATATTATACCAAACGTTTGTATAGGCCCTATACAGATAATTTTATGCACCGTTATCTTATTTATCATGTTTAATACTATAAGATTGTTTGTTTATGTTATCGGAAAAACCGATAAACAGAAAGGATAGGCCAGTTATAACGAATCATACTTGTATGACATTCTAAAGTTGCCTAATGTGGTATTTCCATAAGTGTAACATACTCTAACATTTTGTTAAAAAGGGACCACTGTTGCTGATTTGACATACGTTAAAATTATATAATCTTTAACATGGAGAATCAATCATATTTTTCTAAAGGTTGGTGAAGTTCTTTTTCCATTAAACCTGTGCAATGTAATGTGCATGTACCCAGGACATACACTCTTAATGCGCAATAAAAAGCTACTAATATTCCTGTTATAATTTGGATAACGAATAATCTCTCAGATGTCTCAGTGGAGATTATTTTAGATGTCAGTATATAGGAACCGAGAAATGAATTCGAATAGGTTTATAATTCATTTATGTATCTATTTATTTTTTATTTTTTTTTGGGGGGGGGGGGGGGTGGATTTAACATGCCATTATTGATACCAAATAATCGTCGAATTGTATGGTATGCTTTGCTTCGAACAGTGAATCCAATAGATAGTCATTTTTTTAACTTTCGGGTAACCGGTCGGATAATTAAAATAATTCTATTGGGCGATACTTTTATTCACGTTTGCAAAATCTTGAATATAGGTATTGGAAACAGAATTTGAGAATTTGATTCTTGTGTTTAAGTCACTAGTGGTCTTAAAGTTAGAAAAATTGTGTAAGTTTATATGGTGTTTATTTATTTATTTTTGTTTTTTTGGGTTTTTGTTTTTAATTATTTGAAGAATTGGCTGACATGTAGGCCTACGAAAAGGATAGCATAGGATAATTAGTATATCCATTGTTTATTTAAAGATACATTATGTGAGATTAGATAAAGAGATGGCAGTTCTCACTAAACTAGATAATGTAAAGGGAATTTGCTGAAAATTTTAGTCAAATTGATACACCCTGAACCGAGATTTTAACGACTGAATTTCCTCCTAGCCTCGATCATCATTACTAAAGTCGGTAGGATAAAAACATAGTCTCGATTATCCATTTCATGATAAAATCATGAATGACAGTTGAGCAGCAAATCGGATACTAATCCAATAAATATCGCAGGCTAGTGTTGAAATCGAGAGTTAATTATGGTCTGGATAAGTTAATTAATGTCTAATTAATAATTTAGATAACAAATTTAGGCCTAAAGAAAGACCGACAATAGGCAGATTTAGCTCTTGCATAATGTATGTATGTTTAAGACACATAAAATGTTTAATGGTACGTCAGCTCCAACCCGAATAAAATAAGCTCTATTTTTAATTTGTATTCTGACATGTTTGGGCTTTAAACACTTTAAAAAATGTGTAACCGAAATAATTTTTGAAGCAAGCGAGATATGTTATCGTATTTGTAAATAAATAAATAGCCAAAAAGTCCCATAATTTGTATTGAAACTTGGCTCCAAAACCGATCGTTTCAATTTCCTTGGAAGAGTGTAAACACCCTTAAAGGACAATATTGGTGTCAGTCATTATAAAATATGTGATAGAGCTCGTTAAATACATCCCAAATATAATTTTAACACAGAGATCATTGCTACAGGAGTTGTGTAACAAGCACATGAAGAAACGGGAAGTGACGTCAAACATGACAAACATGAGTTGTCCTTCTATGTAACTGACTGAAGTAACGAGCGGTAACAGACAAACGATCGAATTTCATTTCACTGATAATTCCGTTGAAGATGAAAAGTTGTTATATGAGATGATGAGAGGATATCTGACAATTCAAAAAAAGAATTGGCTGTCAGTAGATAAAAGATATCGAACAAATTAGAAAAAGCCCGTGCATTACCATGTTTTTATTAAGGACAGAATGAATAAAAACGGGGGAATGCACGGGATTTTTCTACTTTTTCTCGTGTCCCTTATTTAGTGACAGCCAATTCTATTTTTGAATTCTAGCAATGATCTCTGTGTTAAAATTATATTTGGAATGTATTTAACCAGTTCTATCACATATGTAATAATGACTGACACCAATATTGTCCTTTAACTTAATTAGTCCAGAAGAGCCACCAGGCGTTAAAGTTTCCTTTAAAAATGTCATCCGCGGTGTTGTTAAAAAAAATGTGTTGTTTTAAATAAGTTTAATGTGTCCATTTGATTTGTGAAGTGGGTATCTTTCTTTCTACCTTTAGAATACAAGGTCTAAAGATTAAACTAATGTCGAGATATTATCCCTGATGTTATGCCACATTGACTATAATATATGTATAAGCAACCTTAATATTTCAAAACGAAAATTACATCATTGTGTCCCATGACTGACCAGTGTATTGCCTGAGAAAATTTCCAAGGGATTTTCCGTCGTGATTTCTCCTTGTCAGTGCAAGTGAAGGAAAGGGGACTTGGCAAGGAACAGTGTCTAATCGTTCGGATGACAACATTTGGCAGTTGGAATTCGGCGAAGAGTATGTGGAAACGCCACTGTTTGAGCAAATATTTCCTAGTGGACAATGAATGACTTTACTATCCCGGTTGGTGCAGAAAAGTTGTAGGCCGACGTCAAAACCCATTTCATTTTGCCCCATTTAGGGCACGCAACTAATCCATGCAAGACACGGTATCCGATCATATCAAAGAATTAGCCTAAATGATTTCTTAAAAATAGTTTTGTGTAAAACGCTTCTGATGACCGAGTTTGCTTCAACCCCCATATTCACAAAAAATCCATTATTAGTCAAATTTCACCTATGGAAACAATGTTAGTGAAGTTTTGGGAAATAATGATGACATTAAAGGGTATCGAACGCCGTAAGTACTAGTATTGACTAGTATAGATTTAATTTCCCCATTTTTCTCAATATTTTCCTATTTTGGACTTTCAATTTGCGAAATCTATCCTATTATCTCAACTATTTTCATAAGTAACGGCTTATTTCAACATCATGTGGATGACCAAACATTTTTTATCTGTATATTAGGGCATCACATGACATGTCACATGATCTTTAGTTTATCCGTTTTCCAAAATGTCGGGCGGAGAGGAGGAACGAAGACCTTTGTTGACAAATAATAAACCTGATAATGCTAGTCCACCGCCTCCTTACACAGCTAGAGGAGGCATTTTAGGTATATATTGACATCATTTATATTTGTATTTAACGCATGCCATCAAATTATTTTATTATATGAAAAAAATCATGTTGATTTACTCTATTTTATTACTACCGCACTGTCTCAGTCTGACTAAGGCCTAGAGTGACTGAGCCATCTACTTTATAAATTGGAGATTTAGATTTACTTAAAAACTGAGCAATAAGAAGTTCTAAATCCCGTACCACTAAAAATAGTGTCATCCCAGTAAGTTGCTTAAAATTGATTTCACAATAAGATATTTCCTTATTAAAATAAAATAATACTTCCTAACATCCATAATTTCATTCAATAAATTCCTCTAAGTGAACAGACCATACTCAAGGCAGATCCCGTCATACACGAAACCAATCTGACTTTCAATAGGGGTGTGAAAATATGTTCCAGAAATTTAATATTAGTGACGTTTTCATCTGCTTTTCTCTAAATAAACGGCAAGTAGACATGCCCACCAAACATTTATGTGAATCTTCTAGAATGTTACATCTGTTTAAAGTTGGTCGACCCTGACTAAAGTTTCTGTATCTGAAGTATTTGATAAGAGACAGTTCTAATTTATTAATTCCAAGAAATGGAAATGCCATAAATATTAATTTATTTTGATACATACATAGGACATGAGGTTACCGGGTATGCAGTTTAGTATGGTGATATTCTTGTCTGTTATTAAGGATCTATTAGTGTCAGTGCCAGTATAATTGATTCTTTATACAATTTTATCTAGTCTAGCTATAAATCATAACACAGTCTACAAAGTACCAATAAACCAGTTTGTAAAAAGAGGAAAACATTTGACAAATCATACAGTTTTATTGTATTAAGCAACCTTTTTTGATTGTACTTTCATAGTGAGTTACTAAACCCCATTTTGATAATAGTTGGTGGTGGCTGGAATCTGGACTCTGAAATTATAATTTATCTACCCGGACATAGACCCATTTTATTCCAGAGAATGTTTTTCATACCATACCAGGACAGTCATTTTGATATTTTCCAGTCTTAAGTAACTGTTAGTCAGTCAATTTTACATGCCATAAATTAGAATTTCAAAGAATTCATCCTTAAAACACGATAAATACAGAGTTTATTTTATAATTTTAAGAATTAGGATGATGCTAAAAATTGACCAATTATCTGTAAAAAAAAAAATCTTCCTAATCTGAGGTAAAAAAAATGTATTAAAAATTGACATGCTGGAAAAAGTATAAAGGGAAAGTTTACCATCTAACTGTACTGACTGATTTTGTTGCATTCTCTATCTGCACACCATATATATCTGCTCACAATTTTTGTTTCCTAACAATTGGTTTGCAATGTATAGGACATCTAATAAAATTTAAGTTTTCAAATTGAAAGAAGTTACACATGCATTGTGCAGTACATGTAGACAGATTTATTTATGTTCACAGTATAGTGACACATAACAATAATAATAGTTGAATGAAACAGGGAAAAAAGGAATATCTTTAATGAAAACATGAGGCCAGGTTGAATTATTGTTCAAGATATAATGTACATAAAACAATGGGTATTTTAATCAAGTAGTCCAGGTTGTAATATTGTAAATGATCAATCTTCTTAAAATTGCCATTTAAATTAATATATCTTCATTGTTTTGGGGTTTTATTTTTTTTGGGGGGGGTGTATTTATTTATTTATCTTATTGTCTACATAAAATGAGATGTAACATATATTCAGAACAGCTACAGTCATTGTCCCTGTGTTATGCATTAGACTGCAGTGAGTTCAAAAATAGATCAATGAACAAGTTATTGAGAAACATCTGATTTTAACATGACTGATATATGAAAGAATGATAAAGGTTTTATTTAAGGACTTAAACATACGTTATGCAAGAGCTAAATCTGCCTATTGCAGGTCTTTCTTTGGGCCTGAAATGTTTTATAAACTATTAATTAGACATTTATTAACAAAACAAGACCATAATCAACTCTCAATGGCATCGGATACTCAAGATTTTAACTAGATTAGAATGGTTCGCCATTTAAAAATTTAATTTAAAAATAGGAAAGCAAGGCTAAGTCTCGCATATACCAGTGCCCTGCTTGCCGCAATGCACACATCTTGTAGATACTAAAAACAGTGATAACTTAGTTCAGAATGAAGTAATTTGAATGAAATTTTCATTTTACGTTATCTGTATTTGAGCTATTATAGCAAGAATGGTCAGCTCTTTATCTAAATCTTACATAATGTATCTTTAAACATCTAATATATTTATCAAAATGTAAATATATATTTATAGAATTGCCACCAGATGAAAGTAATACTGGTATTGCTGCAAGTGTTCCACCAATCAGTCCAGATGAGTTACCCCCACCTTATACTCCCACCCCCCAAGGTGGTATACCCATGATAAATTGTAAAGTATGTCAGGCTATGATCAATATTGAAGGAAAACAACATTTGCATGTTGTAAAATGTGGTGTCTGTCAGGAAGCAACGGTATGTATGCACTTTTAGAGGTTGTACCATATAAACAGAAAATACCTGATAACAAAATCAAATCCTACAAATGTTTAAAATTTAGTTTAAAGTTCAAATTAAACCTCTTTGATTTAGGTCAAAGTAAAATATTGAAGTGGATTGAACTGATTTGTTACTTTGGTTAACTCTAATCTTTTACAATTAAGTCATTTTGTTAACTATATTTTTTATAGTTTCAAGGGCATATTGTCACAAAACAAATCAACATATAAGATCAAATGAAATCAACAATTTTATTTTTTATCCAGATCAAAGAGGAAGTGAGATTTTGAACATTTATTTTTGGAAATAAGTATTTAGTAAAAAACAATGAATAATGAATTAGACAAGAAGACCATGGGATTATATAAAAACTTTTAATTAATGCATAAATAATTATGTTTTACCTTTTAGTTTACTAATTATTATTTGTGCTTGAAAACGATAAGAGAATACTTGTTGAATCGTCGTTCTATTTGTCTATAAATCATTGATTGTTTTCCCTATAAATTGTGTTGTCTTTTTTTAATGTTCTCAATCGCTAAATGCCACTCAAGGATTATTTGATTTTAAGAAGTTGGATTAACAAGTCCAAGAAAAAGTATATTTTTGCCTGTGTTTATGTTACCTGGAAATAAGTTCTTTAAACCTCATACGACATACATAAACAAACCCATGGATCATAATTAATTTCTTTTTACAGCCTATAAAAGCTGCTCCACCAGGAAAGAAATATGTCAGATGTCAGTGTAATTGTTTGTTAATATGCAGAGATAGAGCTGTGAAAATTGCTTGTCCGAGATCAAACTGGTAAATTGTTTATTTTAAACACTTATTTGCAGTTCTAGTGTATCAGAATGAAAACTATTCTCGAGAGCGAGACATCAAGTAATATATAGACACGCTTTTCAATGAAATATGTCACATGAGCCCAATACATGTATTTCATCTAGTATAAATAATGTAAGGTTGGCAAGTTGCCCGTACATTATTTGAAATAAGGGTACACCAACATCAAAGGATTATGTCTCATTTGTGTTTTAAAATCATTTATGCAGTACCTAAAGATATTTTCATATTTGATTGGTTAGGCTTAATTGGTATTATATTGCATATTATGATATATTCCAATGTAGAGTAGCCTACTGAGTACTGTAGGCCTAGAAGTAGACCTATACGTCTTTATCTTATGAATATGACCTCTCGCTCTAAGCTAAGCTAAATCAAATCAAATCAATGTGCTATTAATGTAATGTAGGGGGAGACTTCAGTTTTATTTCAATAATTCACTTGATGGGTCTTTAGCAGTGGAAAAAAAACAGAGGACCCTGAGAAAACCCACGAGGTTTGACAGGCGACCCTACTCCTTGTCACGTACAACCGGGGAATCAAAACCACGCCAGTTGACTTAATGACAGACCTTACAATACAGCGCGCACATGCTAACCATTCGGCCATCCAGCCCCCCGAATACAAACAGAATGAAGTAAGGTATTTATTATGTCCCTTTAAAGTGTGCAGTATTTCTAACATGATATTTTGTATTACAGTGGTCGTATTGTAAATCTAGGCGGTGTTTTTCCAAGTGTAACAGTTAGATCACCTGGCTCAGTTAGAGCAACCTGTGTACATTGTGCTCAAGTTTTTATAGTAAGTAGAAATTCATATAACTATTAATTTGAAAATGAAGCTATTGTTCTAAGAGAAACATGACATGAAAACATTAATACAGAAAACACTATCCATTTGAGGTTGTGATTGAAAAGAACCGTCTGTCATGAATAGTAATTGCATTGATTAATTTCACAGAGATATATTTATGTGTGATTTGTATGTGGCATTTGTTATATTACCAGAGAAGTTATATAAATCAAAAGCACAAGTTGTAAACTGTTCTCTATCTGTTGTTCTAAATTGTTTCAAATGTCAATTTGGAATAAACCTTGAAAAACACAGGACACAATTATTGTTTTTTGCTAATTGAATTTTCGACTAAGCTTCTCTAATCTTTATGAAGAGCAGTCTAGTTAAAACGACACTCAGTAATAAATTTGTGTCATGTGTATCCGTTTCCAAGACGTTTATATCCCAAGAATGGCAAACAATTTGTTGACTGACATCTTACATACAACCAAAAAAAAAAAAAAATAACCAACAATTCAAAGACCTCTTCACATTTAGTTGAAGTGACTCCGACATATATTCAAAACTTTGGTTTATATTTTGTAAATACTCCCTCAATGTATATAAATGTACATTTCATCCACTTTTATGTAATTTTCATCAACTTTTTATATATTTTTCATCCATTTTATAATGTATTTATCATGCTGACTGTAATGTATAATTTACATGCTGCCCGAAAAGGGTGTTTTATGTAATAAAAATCTATCTATCTACAAGTATTAAAAGTTATATTGTCATTATATTATAGTTTGATGTTTCTACTAGATCATTAGCAAGATGTCCACATTGTAGAAATCTGTAAGTAACCTAAGTTTTGTCATTCTTACATTGCTACATTGTATGTTATTTCAACGCTTGATTATACTACATGTATCAGAAAAACTGGGAAATGTGTAGATCTAGTTACATCATACAAATAGTGGTTTGTTGTATTGATATCCCCATCCAACCAAATGATTTTTTTAAATCTTGTATTTGGCATCCATTTCAAAAGAGGTTTATAATTTGATAATGGCACAATATTCCAGAATAAAAGGCAGATATAGGCTCTCATATTTAGTCTTATTGAAATGCATATTGATCCAAAATTATTCAGATCTATCTGTAACTGAAATTATGGCCACCATTACTGATTATCAATTTCATACTGCTATCTTTTTTCCTCTTAGGTTATAAGGTTGATGCCTGAACAATAATTCACATCAGGGCCGAAAAACTATTACACCTCCTTTTTAAATTTTAGTTGTCAAGATTACTGTCTAGAGAACACTTTTCAGTCACATTTAAATACAGAAAATGATTATTAGCCTTCTGGTTCATTAAGATTTTAAGATTGACTTTTGGAATCTTTTTCAGGTCTGCTGTGGGAACAAACTATGCGAGAAGAAGAGCTCATATTTGTTTAATATTGGCTCTTGTTTTTATTGGTGCTGGTATTGGAGTAACTGTGAGTATAAATTCTTAACTTACCATAGTCATGTCATTTTAAAAGATGTCGCATGAATTGAAATGAACCAATCTCCCCAAAGTTACATTCATGCAAAAGTGAAAAGCAGACAATGTGACCAGAAATGCAGAAGAAAAACACACAGATAGTGTAAGCCATATAAAAGAATTGAAATGAAATGGGGTTTAACTGTTAAACTTTAACATCATACTGTTCTGCTCTGACTCGGTTAATGAAGACAGGCATACGCCATACAGTGTGCTGTGAGGGGAAATTTTGCCAATCAGCGGCGGTACGGCCTACTCTTACATCAAATATCAACTACCAAGGGATTTTTTAAATGCATGCCAGTGTGTACATGGGACCTTGGTTTTTGTCGCATTCAAAGACCCATATAAAAGAACAATTTAATCAATGAATAGAGTCAATGATGCATTACGAATACTCCAGCGTTAGCTCCAGAATTTTTCCCGTCTTCATTAGCCCAGTTCGGAGAAGAACAGTAGGACGTTAAACCCCATTTCATTTCATTTTCCAGAATTTTTATTCCCAGTTTACTAAGTTTTAATCTGTTTTTCAGATGGGAACATTAGAAGTTGCAAGAGAAAATGGTGGAATATATGTTGTGTGGACTGGTAAGTTGCGTTTTGTTTTACGGTACTAACTGACCAACAACAATACAAAACAGCACCGATAATCCAAATGTAAAATAACAATGTGAGATGTAGTGGTGTAAACTTTCATGATGCATTATGTAAGAGCTAAATCTGCCTGTTGCTGGTCTTTCTTTTTGCCTCAAATGTTATATAAATTAGTATTTAGACATTTATTCACATGTTAATCAACTCTATAGATCATCGGATGGTCGAGATTGAATGGATTGAAACACGATCGCCATTTGATAATTTAATTTAAAAATGGTGAATTGAGACATAGTCTCGATTGTCAAGTACCTTTGCTACAACAATAAACAATCTATGCTACATCTTTTCCAAACTCTGATAAATGTGCTCAGAATAAAGTAATTTGAATAATATTTTCAATATATTAATTTTGCTTCTTTTTAATGCGATGGAATCCAAGCCCGGATATTATCTACCATTGATATTTCAGATTTTATTTTCCTAGTTCAGTGTTAAACAATGAGTACATATTAGTAATAATTTGAATGTGAACAATCAGATATTGTCATAAAAATGTTATGTAACTTGGATCCTTTTAAAATGTTTCGAAGATGTCCGTTCTCTTGAAATGATACCTGTTGATTTGGCTGCTTTGCCCCATGGTTATGAAAGTTTTATAACATTCGTAAGGGCCACAATGATCATGTGACATTTTTGAAATTTCAGTCATTCTGATGAAATCTCCCAGAATTATGAATCAGTTTGAAAATTGGATTGATTTTCTGTTTCAGGAGCTTTTATAATAGGTTTATCGATGTTGATAAGAGCTTGCTATTTCTACACGGTAAGAACTAGTACAATTATCAGTGAAACCTAGATGACGAGTGGAAAGCTATCGCAGATTTACTCTTACAATGGAACCTGGCCTTTCTAACAATTGAAAAATATGGACTAAATATCTTGCATGTATTTTGTGTTACAGTATCAGGTTTAAATACAATCTGATTAAGGCACAGATTTTGTATCATTTGCTTATATATAGTTTAAGTGTTTCTTTGACATCACAGCAGCAGGACCTGGATTAATTCTTAAACATACAAGAACTAAATCTGCCTATTGCAGGTCTTTCTTTAGGCATGAAATGTTATCTGAATTATTAATTAGACATTAATTAACTTGTCTAGACCATAATCAACTCTTGATGCCATCGCTAGCCTGCGATATTTAGCGGATTAGAATACATTTTGTAAAACATAATTAAATGCAAAAATGGATAATCGAGACATTGTTTTTTATCGTACCAACTTTAGTAATGATGATCGAGGCTAGCATAAAATTCAAAAGCTAATATCAATTTAACTGAAATTTTCAGCATATTCCATTTATGTTATCTATTTTTTAACTATTATAGCGAGAACTGTCAACTCTTTATCTAATCTCCCACAATGCCCCTTTAATTAAACCATTAAATTTTTCTCTTTGATGAACATATGAAATGGTTTGGGCTTTTTTCAAGTTTTGCTGCTCAATAATGTATGTCATTTACTCATTTGGTGACCTCCTATGCCAACCGGTAAGATCTATATTTAATGGGAGCTCTTAAAATTATATGATAGAACAGAAATTTTTCTTTATGTCTGCGTTTGAATCAGGTTGTGTTAAATACAACCGATTGTATCCCCTCGCCCCCCACTCTATAAAACTTACTCTCAACAGATTTTTATTATTCACTATCTCATACATTCCAGTAATAGAACAAATTTCTTGTCCCCTTCATTTATATACAATTGACAATGTTTTTAGCTTAATAGAGATTATGACTTCACTTTTATTTGATACTTAAGTATAAAAACGATAAAATGTCTTATTCTCTCTCTTGAATTTAAACTTTTGACTCTTGGAGTATCTTAGTCGCATTAATTCTACCTCCCTGTTTTGACCAAACTATCTTTGTTAAGAAATTGTGTATGTCCTTAATGAATATAACGTATTGTACTAAATTCTGTGATAGATATGATAAGAATCTGGTTACCTGGTAAATGAGGAAGTATTAATTTTTATGAAGTAAAAATCCATATTGGTGCAATCAAGTAAATTGAATTATATTAATATTTACTGGTAATTTAGATGTACTTAAATTTTTCCGGTTGATTGATATCAGAAATATTTTAAATTTTTCTACGTTGCATAAAGTTGTGATATATTTGTTTATAAGGCCTATATTGGTAGTTAATAAAGCATCATTTGTTTAATAATACATCAATGAGAGGTCATTTAAATGATTGTTTTCATGGTTATTAGTTTGTTAAATTTTTGTTTGGATGATTGACCAAAAATTGATATTATTTTTGGTTTTAAGTGTAAATAGTTTCCCCTTATATATAGATACCGTTATGTTGTGCCATATACATGTATCCTCAATATTTCTTTTTATTAATGTATGATAACTTGTTAATTTGTTGTTTGCTCATATAACTAAAATTCCTACACTGAGAATAGTTTTGAATTGTTGAGGCAATATTGTTTTGTTTATATCAACTTGATTTGAATATATATGTTATAATTTATTTAAGATGTTTGCTTAACAAACATAAAGATCCACTTTTTGATAATTAACATGATTTAAAAATTTTGATTTTACGGAGAGATAAACAAGTTGATTCATTGTAAAGATGTATTTTGTTGTGCAGAGCTACATTTTGTTATCCATGACTGTTATGACATTGTAAGTTGTTGACTTAATTCTTCAATATTGATTTTACACATTTCATTTTATTACTGATTATCATCAATGAGTTTGATGTGACTAATTTTAAATACATAAAAAATAAGAGTCATATAATAGGAGTAGTAGATTAGTTTTCTTATAGCATTTTTTTTTTTAAATCTTCCATATGTGAGCGAAAAAATGATCAAAGTTGTACAAAGAAAATTGTATATAATTATTGTCTAGTTATTTTGAAGTAGATTGAATATGTTACAAATATTTATTGCAGATTATGTTTTTAATATTTTTAATGTTATGTTATAATACAATCAACACCTTATAAAGAAGCTCCATGTAAAGTGCTATGAACTTGAACTTTGTAAAATAAAACTTACCAGTGTGTCAAGAGGTCTAATATTAGCAATCACATGCATGTACATTTTATATTCTCACTTGAATTAATATTTCTTGACAGCACTAAAAATTAAAATTTCTTTGATGAAATGAAATTTTTAACTGCATAAATAATGTGAAATTGAAATAATTAAATTTTTGTTGAAGTATTGTTTTATTCGTATTTAATTTGCATACTATAAATTTTGAGTAATTTGTGAATAACTGTAACCTAATGAATTTGAGAGATTTCCTACCTTGGGCTAACAAATTTAATATATCAACCATCATAGACAGTTATTGTTTACTAGTTCACTTACATACACACAATATTAAGATGAGGGATTGATTTGTCGTGTACACATTATGTGCCTGTATTTCAGGTACCCGTATATTGTAGTCGACAATACACATACTGAAATGTGGCTGTATTAGGTCGTCACCATGTCCGAGAAGCATTGGGGCCATGAGAGGACAAGCCTCATCAATATTCAGCATTTTATGACCTTCCATTCTTCAAATGCGATCCAGTGTTCCACAACCTATTCCGGCGTTACCCTCTCAAGCACCCCTGTTTACCTAAAAACTTGTAAACGTGATAGTGGCTACAGTTTTTATTCAGTTCGTTTTACAGCATTCCAAGCCCTTCGGTTCAGATACCATGGATGCAGAGAATAACCTGCGTGGTCAAATATGTAACCAGTACCTCAGCATGTCACCTATACCATCATCACTTGTGTCGCACTACGAATGTACATATATTGTTAGTGTGGGTAACAGGCTTTGTATACATCATACCGAGAATGTGTTTTTCATAACCCGCCATCCAAACTAGAGGACACTGCTTGTCAGTCCACAAAAGTATGTTAACCCTGGTAATAGGGCCACAGAAATTCCAACAAGGGGTTGCCATGCAAGATACGACCACATTTTGCAAGAGATGGACAGAGAGAACGATCTAAAATAATAATGTGATTTTTTGTACAATCAGGGGCCATAATCCAGGAAGATATGGTCCGACATGCATGAATATCATAAACGCATTTCAAATTTCAACAAAATCAAATAAAAATTGTGACCTCTATAGGGTCCACAAGCTAAAAACCTGATTTTTCGTACAATCAGGGGCTATAATCCATGAAGTTACAGTCCAATTATACATGCCAATATTGAAAGGAACTGATAATAATAATATTTCAAGTTTCGTTGAAATCGGATAACCAGCGGCTGCCAGGCAGTATACGCCCACATTTTCGAGAGATGGATAGAAAACAAGCTAAACGAAAGTGATTTTTCCTACAATCAAGGGCCATAATTCAGGAAATTACAATTCGATATGAGCAAATATCCAAAGGAACCAAGATCTTTGAGTTATAAACTTACATTTCAAGTTTCAACAAAATCGGATAAAAATTGTGACCTCTATAGGGTCCACAACCTTGATATACCATATTTTTACGCTATTTGAGAACAAGGGGCGACCATTTTGTCTGTCAGTTTTGGGCCAATTTTCACGAAATTCGAACTCAATCGTCCTTAGGGTGTAACGGTGATATAATAATACGTTTTTTTAAATCGGATAAAAATTATGACCTCTATAGGGTCCACAAGCTAAAAATGTGATTTTTCGTACAATCAGGGACTATAATTCAGGAAGTTACGGACCGATATGCACGAATATCGAAAGGAACTGAGATCTTTGGGTTATAAACTTACATTTCAAGTTTCAACAAAATTGGATAAAAATTGTGACATCTATAGGGTCCACAACCTTGATATACCATATTTTTACGCTATTTGAGAACGAACGGCGGCCATTTTGTCTGTCAGTTTTGGGCCGATTTTTCACGAAATTCGAACTCAACCATCCTTTAGGTTTAATGGCGATATAATAAAACATTTTTTTAAATCGGATAAAAATTATGACCTCTATATGGTCCACAAGCTAAAAACGCAATTTGTCATACAAAGGGGCCATAATTCATGAAGTTACGGTCCGATGTGCGCGAATATCAAAAGGAACCAAGATCTTTGTGTTATAAACTAACATTTCAAGTTTCAACAAAATCGGATAAAAATTGTGACCTCTATAGGGTCCACAACCTTGATATACCATATTTTTACGCTATTTGCGAACGAAGGGCGGCCATTTTGTCTGTCAGTTTTGGGCCGATTTTCACAAAATTCGAACTCAGCCGTCCTTAGGTGTAACGGTGATATACTAACACAGTTTTTTAAATCGGATAAAAATTATGACCTCTATAAGGGTCCACAAGCCAAAAAACGCGTTTTTGTGTACAATCAGGGGCCATAATTCATGAAGTTACGGTCCGATATGCGCGAATATCGAAAGGAACCGAGATCTTTGTGTTATAAACTTACATTTCAAGTTTCAACAAAATCGGATAAAAATTGTGACCTCTATAGGGTCCACACCCTTGATATACCATATTTTTACGCTATTTGAGAATGAACGGCGGCCATTTTGTCTGTCAGTTTTGGGCTGATTTTCACGAAATTCGAACTCGACCGTCCTTAGGGTTTTAACGGGGATATAATAATACAGTTTTTTAAATCGGATAAAAATTATGACCTCTATAGGGGTCCACAAGCCAAAAAACGCGTTTTTACGTACAATCAGGGGCCATAATTCAGGAAGTTACGGTCCGATATGCACGAATATCGAAAGGAACCGAGATCTTTGGGTTATAAACTTACATTTCAAGTTTCAACAAAATCAGATAAAAATTGTGACCTCTACCGTGTTCACAAGCCAAAAATGTGATTTTTCGTACAATCAGGGGCCATAATCCATGAAGTTACGGTCCGATAGATGCCAATATCGAAAGGTACCGAGATCTTAGGGTGATAAACCTATATTTCAAGTTTTATTGAAATCAGATAAAAATTGTGACCTGTAGACTGTTCACAAACAATTGTGGACGGACGGACAGGGGCGACGACAATATACGTCCACATGAAAATGTGGGCGTAAAAAAATCCTAGAGGCCAGTGAGCTTCAGCAGTGACCAATGTCTTAATTAAATAGACAAACTCTGGCCTTAATCTCCTAAAGCATGTCTGGTTAACACCTCTCCCCATTTGCAGAAAAATCACCCAAACCTCCTTACAGAATCAACAGTTCTCGATCCTTGTCCATGCACTCAGAATCAATAGTTCTTTCTTCATCTTTGTCCATGCACTGATAATATAATAGTAAACCTATGTATATACCATTTGGATACATAGAAGAGACCTGCCCTTGTGGATGGGTTTTAGACCTTTGCCAATATGTAAAGTCAAGCGCTATTCTGAATAATGAATATCAGGTGACAGAAGTAAGCGGCTTTAACAAATAAAGTTGATCTTTATAACATGTTTCAGTAGTTTATTTGATGTCAATACAATCTACTAAAAAAAAAAATCACTATCATGATATACAATGATATATGCTTTTTTAATAGCACTTAATGATTTGTGACAAATGTTTACATTATGACAACATGAAGCAGTAGAAAAAAATTAAGCTATAAAACAGAATTAAACAAGTGGGCTAACAAGGGCCTTAATTGTCCATCAATTTAAAGGACAATATTGGTGTCGGTCATTATTACATGTGATAAAACTGGTTAAACACCTTCCAAATATAATTTAACAGAGAACATTACCACGACAGATAAGATTTCAAGAAACTGAATGGACGAAAGCAAAAGGAAACAAATGAAATGAAATGGGGTTTAACGTCCTACTGATCTGCTCCGAACTGGGCTAATGAAGTCAGGCATACGCCATACAGTGTGCTATGACAGTGGCGGACCCAGGATTTATTCCAGGGGGGTGACTAAAAGAGGTCAGGGGTGAAGCGCGGTCGACCAAAGGCGGGAGCACTAGAAGGGGGGGGGGGGGCATAGGGTGTCCAAAGGGGTTAAAACTATTTTGTGCTATCTGAGGTATCTTCTGGGCAATAGTTCTCAAAGAAATAAAGTGAAAACCCCAAAAACTAGTCACCCCCCCTGGATCCGCCACTGTATGAGGGAAATTTCCCCCGGACAGCGGCACTATGGCCTACTCGTATATCAAATTCCAATTGTCAAGGGATCTTTTACGTGCATGCCAATGTGTACATGGGACCTCAGTTTATCGTCCGATCTGAACGACTAGACAGCTGTCCTTGTCAGGTCCTCCGTCCTGCATCACTGATCTGGGGGAATCAACCCGGAAAATCGGGATGAACTTTCTCGGCCAATGCAGGGATCGAACACCCTGCATTGGCCCAGAAAGTTCATCCAGATTTTCCGGCGTACACCTTTCCGTCTATATAACTGACCGAAGTAACGAGCGATAACAGATATACAGGCCAATTTCTGCTCACTGATAATTCCTGTGAAGACCAAAATTTGTTATATGAGACCGAGAGAATATCTGATAATTCATAAAAAGAATGGACTGTTCACTAGTTAAAAAAAAACAAAAGCAAATAGAAAAAGGTTTTGCATTACCATGTTTTATTAAGTATATATTAATAAAAACAAGGGGTTGTACAGGCTTTTTCTTGTTTTCTTTTATCTAATGACTTTCAATTACTTTTTATAAATTATCAGATATCCTCTCACAGTCTCATAACAACTTTTGGTCTTCAATTCAAAGGAATTATCAGTGAGCAGATATTCGCCCTTGTATCTGTTATCGCTCATTACTTCATACTTCAGTTATATAGAAGGATAACTTGTGTTTTCCTTTTGTCACTTCCGTTTCTTCAAATCTTGATTATGCATTTTATCGTAGCAACTATTATGAAGAACATGAATAAAACATTAGCTACAGGTCATGAGAAATACAACCCCCACAAAAGAGTTTGCCTCTATAAATATTGTTAAATTGGGCTTTTATTTGCTGAATAATAGAAAAAAACTATCAGATGTACCATGGGGGTTTAACATTAACATAGTTTGAACACTAATACCCACCTCACCTACATACTATGGTATTTAAAACATTAAGTTTGGATCATATCGGCTGTTGCCAGATAACATACTGGCGTGAAAGCCTAACTTTCAAACCACGGAAATGAGTTAAAAGATGTACTGATTCATTAAAAGAAAGTCTTATTTATAAAATAAGTCGAAAATTAAGCACGAAAATGTCTCCTGACAGCACTAGGAATGATATATCAATGGAATACAGCAAATTATTTGGCACAAAAATCAGTCTAAAAAAAAAAACAACACAAAACAAGTGTCAGGAATGGAATTATTTGTGGTGTAATAAACACATAAACAAGGTTTGATTTGAGTCGAATACAACTCACAAAATGGACGGTTTTGTTGACAGATAAACTGTACACTATCTACATGTATCGACTCACATCAAGTGATCTTAAAGGGTCATTGATCAGTCCAAATTCTGCAATATCATCTGTGACAAAATTATTAACAGGACATGTGAAGTCATCTCGTGCAGAACCAACGGAATTCATGGAAGCATCAAGGCAATCAAGATCATAACATTTATTATATGACCTAATATTATTCATGGAGGAATCCTGAGATTTATCCTTACAGAATAATCTTTCTACTGGTTTTGATCTCCGGTACATAAATTCTCCACCATAGAAATCTGGATGATTTATCATTTTCTCGTCACTTTTATATATTATGGGGCTTATTTTCTTTGGTGAATTGTCTTCTACGAAGTGATCATGTGGCCAGCGCTCATCTTCAACACCGCTATTATTACTACCACTATTTTTTCGTTGAGTATTTCTCTGGTATCCATTTGTTACTGTTAGAGCTTCATTTAACTTCTGATCATCAGAATTCTGCTTTACATTTTGGTAGTTTGAATGGCCAATTAGATTTTTCATTATCATTCTACTTGTGGGTTGGTTTTGATTATGGACCAATTCCACAGGTATGGTACTGGTGCTTCTTGCAGAGGAATTGTTTTCAGTTTTACTAGAATAATGTTGTCGATCTCCTAAATGATCACTAATTGTTGCTGGTCTGAAAATACCTGGATCTTTATTTCTAGGTCTTTCATTACGATTATAAATCAATGGTTGATTTAATACACCATAATCATCTGGATTGAAAAACTTTGGATCCTGCATAAAAAAACAGCAGTTGACAGGTAAGATACACCCACATTTTGCAAGAGATGGATAGAACCCCCCCCCCCCAAAAAAAAAACAGCGGTTGCCAGGCAAGATACACCCACATTTTGCAAGAGATGGATAGAGTACAAACAATCAGGGGAAATAATCCAGAAGTTATGCGCAAATATCAGACGGAATCGAAATCTCTGAGATAAACATATATTTTAAGTTTCATCAAAATCAGATATAAATTCTGACCTCTGGTGGGTCCACAACCTTGGTATTGCATACTTTTACACTATTTACGTACAAGGAGTGGCCATTTTGTAGGGCAGTTTCAATCTGATTTTCACGAAATTCAAACTCGAGTGTGATTAGGTTGTAACACTAATATACTTAAACGTTTTTAAAAATCGGAAAACATTGTGACCTCTAGAGGGTCCACATGCTAAAAACTGAATTTTTTGTACCATCAGGGGCAATAATCCAGGAAGTTATGATCTGATATGCGTGAATTTCAGAAAGAACCAAGATCTTTGGGATATAAACCATTTTGTTGGGCAAATTCGGTTCAATTTCGATCTCAGCTATGATCAAAGTGTAAGAGTGATATATTGAAACAATTTTTAAAATTGGACAAAAATCGTGACCTATGGAGAGGGTCCACACTCCACAAGTTAAAATCACAATGTTTTCGTACAATCAGAGGCAATAATCCAGGAACTTTATTACGGCCCAATATTGATATATCAAAATTGAACACTATTTGAGCACATAGAGAGGTAGTTTTGTCTGGCAGTCTTGGTCTGATTTTCAAGAAATTCGCACTCAATCATCATTATTGTGTAGCGGTGATATATTTGAACATTTTTTTAAATCAGATAATTGTGGACGGACGGACAGGGGCGACGACAATATACGTCCACATGAAAATGCGGGCGTATAAAAATCACAGGCAGTGAAAATTCTGAAGTGGAAGCCCTTCGTATTACATACTTTTACACAATTTGTGTACAAAGAGCGGCCATTTTGTCAGGCGGTTTAGTTTTGATTCTCACGAAATTCGAATCCTATCCTTATTAGGGTGTAAGGTAATATATTCAAATGGGTTTTTAAATCAGATAAAAATTGTGAACTCTAGAGGGACCACAAGCTATTTTTCGAACAACCAAGGGCCATAATTTAAGACGTTAGGATCCGATATGCGCGAATAACCAAAGGAACCAAGATCTTTGGGTTATAAATATATATTTCAAGTTTCATTAAAATTGTGACCTCTAGAGGGTCCACAACCTTGATATACCATATTTTTACACTTTTGTGAACATGGAGTGGCAGTTTTGGTCCTATTTTCACGAAATTCGAACTCAACAGACATTACAGTATAATGGTGATATATTCAAACGTTTCTATAAATCGGTTAATAATTGTGACCTCAAGTGGGACCATAAGATAAAAACGTGATTTCTCGTACAATTAGGGGTCATAATTCAGGAACTTACAATTTGATATGTGCAAATATCGAAAGGAACCAAGTTCTTTAGGTTATAAACATGCATATAAAGTTTCATTCAAATTGGATGAAAATTGTGACCCGTAGAGTTTCCACAAGCTAAAAACATGATTTTTCATACAATCAGGGACCATAATCCATGAAGTTATGGTCCGATACATACCAATATCGAAAGAAACCGAGATCTTTGGGAGATTGACCTTTATTTCAAGTTTCGTCAAAATTGTATACTTTACACACATTGTGGACGGACAGGGGCGACGGCATAATATGTCCACATGAAAATGTTGGCGGATAAAAATTATGAAGGGTTATTTTTACATAATTACAGCATATTTTACTTTTCTTGAAAGATTCAAATTATTACTAAAAATATATATATAATTTGAATTGTCTGTAAGTGATAGATCACTTGTGTTCAAGATGAATTACCTTTTCAATAATATCTGGTATTTCATTTTGAATGTCTGGCCATCCAGCTGGTTGTTTTTGACATAAACTGCTAGTAGCTAGATGAATTAATTCTTTTGTAGTATACATGTACTTTCTTTTAATATCTATAAATTGAAAAATTACAACCTTAGATTTACAGAAAAATAAAACACCAGAAGAATGCATATGAAAATGTCTACAGTAATAACTTTGAGGCATGAGAAAAGTCAACAGTAGTGTGCATTGTCATATAAATAGCGAAGCACATGATAATATGTGCCTATAATATTCAAATAATATATCTTATGAAATACAGCATGAAGGGCCATTTTGATGATTAATGAGACTGAGAGGGATCTAGCCGAATCGGGTAGGGTTTATGTAAATACAAGGCAACAGTGAGGTTGGTGTCTCCCGCCGAAATCCCAAAATAAATAGATGACACATATTAATCACACATTTATCTTTTTCAAAAGTATTGAGCCATAAAACTATACACTAAGTTTCACCACTCTCTATCAGATAGAATCAAGATATCTTGTCTGAAAACATCCACCGATGAAATTGATTAGCTCCAGCTCGAAATGTTAACCATTGAACTCAGTCAAGACATTCACCTAATGAACATCTACATCCAGTTTAAACATTCTACCTCAATTAAAACCAGAGTTATGTTCCAAAGTCTCGACCAATCAAATTGCTTATCGTTCTGCTTACCCTCAGCAGAAAAAGTTCATTATCGAACTTAGTCAAGGTATTGATGTAATAAAGCTATACACCAAGTATCCTAACTCTCACTGTCCCAAAGCATCAAACAATCAAATTGCTTATCTCTGCTTACCCGAAGCAGAAAATTCTCATCTTCGAACTCCATCAAGGCATTCACCTAAATACCTACGCCAAGTGTGAACATTCTAACTCAATTAGAAGGAGAGTTATTGTGTTCCAAGGTCTCGACCAATCAAATTGTTTATTGCTCTGATTACCCCGAGTAGAAAATGCTCATTATCGAACTTAGTCAATGTATTGATGTAATGAAACTATACACCAAGTTTCATCACTCTCACTTAATTAGAACTAAAGTTATCGTGTCCCAAAGCATTAACCTAGGCAGAATATGCTCATCTTCGAACTCCATCAAGGCATTGACCTAATAAACACCTAACCAAGTTTGAACATTCTAGCTCAATTAGAAAGGGTTATTGTGTCCCAAAAAGTGTGACGGACAGAAAGATGGACGAACCCATTTTAATAGTCCCCTGCGTTTTTCGAAAGGCGGGGGGACAATAAATATTGTGATAAGCATGGGGCACCCAAACTTAAGTCACAAATTAATATACCTGTCTGTTGAGCAGTTGATTCAGGTGTAAGATCCATAGCCTACAATACAAAATCATTCATATATAACATGCAAGATAGCCCACATTATGCCAGAGACAGAACAAGCAAAACAAAAACGCGATTTGTTTTTTACAATAGGGCCTACAATCAAGTTACGGTCCGATATGCATGGATATGAAAAAGAACCGAGATCTTTTGGAATATAAACATATTTTAAGTTTCATCCAGATCAGATAAAAACTGTGGTTTCTAGAGGGTCCACAACCATTACACTATTTGCTTACAAGTAGCAGCCATTTTGTCAAGCAGTCAAGATTTGAACTCCACCATCATTAGTGTGTAACGGTGATATATTTAAACAGTTTTTTTTAAATCAGATAAAGATAGGTTGTCAGGCAACGAAACATACACCAATAGCTGCCAAGTCATCCCGGCAGTCAACATATGGGTGAAATCCCATCACTGGTCCACAACCTTATGTTTCAAATTTCAAATAAAGCTCTCCAAAATTTAACCATTCTCCATGCTATGACTCGACCAGTTTGTTAAAATCTATTTGTAGCTGTGTTCTTTGAAATTGACAAATTATAATGCCTCTAAATTTAAAGAATATAGGATAGCGAAAATTATGTGCTGAGCCGTTACTTCAAGGTAAGTCTTCTTAACCGTAATGTAATTAACAAGAGTCAAAACAGGGTAACCTTACAAGAATAACTAAACATCCATTGAAAATAAAACAGCTACAACTACAAATACAATCTTACTTCTTTATCACAGGTTTCAATTTTGATTACAGTGCCATCCATATGATGATTGATCAGAGTTGTTACTTTCTGAAATATTATAAATCAAGAAATTAATCCATACCCTCTTTCGAATATTACAACAATGAAGAAAGATTAGTTAAATCAGATATTTACATCACTGTAATGTTACCGAGGACAAAGATTATTAGTCACCATCTGTGAAACACAAACTGATTCCCTACAATTCTATATACTGAAATCCATCTTTATTGGATCTTGAGGTTGTTATACGTTCAAACTAGAAGTGGACATATGCTTCAAATTTTTGGATAGATTATTTACCATAAGAGTTCTAATAGAACTGCATGCCACAACTAAGATACCCTCCAGTTCTAGGGTAGCTGTATAATATCTTTCTGCTTTTTCAGGGCTAAAATGTAAGTTCATTGTTCATTAGTAGAATTAGATGTTTTCTACAAAATCTACTGATTGCACAAATTATAAACTATTTAACAATAATATATCAACACTTAGTCCAGGTAACTAATTTTACCTGTTATCATTACCTGGACTTTAGTGGCAAAAATCACAACCACAAAATTGTATGGATAGAGTAAATATGGGCTACTGGGGTAAATATTTTACAGAAATGTTAACATTATCATTTTGTTATGTAAAAATTAGCCACACAAAGAGTGGAATATGCCCACACAGCAGCTTTGCCTCAACTACAGCTTATTCGAAAGGAAAACTTGGATGTTGAGGAAATTCGATAAGGATCTAGGATTGAAAAAAAAACCTGTTAATACCTACAACGTCTATCACATTCACATGTTTTTTGGCAAAAGGGGGGATAACTCAAACAGAAGGCTGTGGATTATAAATATCTATGAAGATTGATGACCACAAGTCAAATAAGAAAAAGATCCATTAAAAAATGAAATGGGGTTTTAACGCCCTACTGTTATACTCTTACATGGCTAATGAAGACGTGCATATGCCAATAAGTGTGCTATGAGGAAAATTTGCCCCGTTTTCCAACTGCCAAGGGATCTCACACGTGCCCGCCTAATGTGTACATGAGACAACTATATGTTGTCCCCTGCTAGGCCTTCAGTCCTACACCACTGACAAGTGGGAACCCAGCCAAAAATCCATGTGAACTTTGTCAGCCAACATCAGGATCGAACACGGGACACCCAGGTTAGCAGGCCAACGTCTTACTCACAGAGCCACCACGACTATCATCCATTATAAACTATCGCATTCACAAGGTTTTTTGGAAAAGGGGACATAACTCCAGAACAGAAAGTAGCGGATGCTGAACATCATCGATAGGATTTATTCTTTTATGACCCCAATGCTTGACACCAATTTTACAAAAATTTGTTTACCAGCGGATGCCAAGTAAGATACATGTAAGTCCACATTTTCCAAGAGGTGGACAGAAAACAAATTAACCAGAGGTTGCTAGGCAGGATACACCCACATTTTGCAAGAGATGGATAGAGAACAAGCTAAAAACAAAATCAGGGTCTGAAATGCACAAATATCAAAAGGGACTGAGATCTCTAGGGATATTAAGATATGTTTTAAGTTTCATCAGATTTGGATAAAATTGTGACCTCTAGAGGGTCCACAAGGTTTGTATTGCATACTTTTACACAATTTTCGTACAAAGAGCGTCTATTTTGTCAGGCAGTTTCATTTCGATTTTCCCCAAAAATTTGAATTCAACTTTCATTTTGGTGGAATGGTGAAATATTTAAAATGTTTTTAAAATCGGGGAAAAAAAATGTGACCTCTAGAGAATCTGCAAGCTAAAATTCGATTTTTCGAACAATCAGGGGCCATAATCCAGGAAGTTAAGTTCGGATATACGCGATTATCAAAAGGAACCAAGAGCTTAGAGTGTAATGATGATATATTCACGTTTTTTTTTTAAATCGGATAAAAAATTGTGACCTCTACATGGACGGCAAGCTAAAAACTTGAATTTTTGTACATTCAAGGGCCATAATTCAAGAAGTTACGATCCAATACGCGCGAATATCGAAAGGAACCAAGATCTTTGGGTTATAAACATGTATCAACTCTCATCAAAATCGGATAAAAATTGTGACCTCTAGAGGGTCCACAAGCTTGATATACCAGATGCTATACACTATTTGCGTACAAGGGGCTTCCATTTTGTCCAGGAGTTTTGGCCAAATTTTCACGAAATTCGTACTCAGCCATTCTTAATCTTAGGGTGTAACGGTGATATATTCAAACGTTTTTTTAACTAGGATAAAAATTGTGACCTCTATAGGGTCCAAAAGCTAAAAACGTGATTTTTCGTACAATCAGGGGCCACAATTCAGGAAGTTATGGTCTGATAAGTGCAAATATCGAAACCAACCTAGATCTGTGGGTTACATACATTTCAAGTTGAAACCAAATCGGATAAAAATTGTGACCTCTACAGTGTTCACAAGCTAAAAACGTGATTTTTCGTACAATCAGGGGCCATAATCCATGAAGTTACAATTCGATACATGCCAATATCGAAAGGAACCGAGATCTTAGGGTGATAAACCTATATTTCAAGTTTCATTGAAATTGGATAAAAATTGTGACCTGTAGAGTGTTCACAAACAATTGTGGACAGACATGGGCGACGACAATACGTCAACATGAAAATGTGGGCGTATAAAAATATATTGTGCAGTACCGTGTTCAAAAAGACTAAAGTCAACAAAAATAAAATCTGATCTTATGAAATCCAAATGTTGCTAACCTTTTATGTAAAGACAGATTTTTAAAGTTGTTGTGTATTGTATATATTTATAATTATTTTATAATAAGCCTAGCTGAGACATAAAATTGTTAGATGTCTTTTTTATCACACATTTTTGGCAGCTAAAATATTCCAGTTGGCGAAAAAAAAATATGAAAATCCTTTTTATATAAAAATTAACATTCATTTTGGTGGAAAAAAATTGAAAGCCAGTGTGAGCCCTGGCCAGGGCTCTGGCAGTAATTATCGGAAATCGTTGAAAAATCAATAGGCTACTTCGTCTCATGATCTTACACACTGTAAATCATTAAAATCAATAGGCTTCTTCGTCTCGCAAACACTGTGTCAATCGGATATTGACTTCAGCCTCTAAAGTGTCCACAAGTGACCTTAAGCACTTGCCATAACTCTGGCAGTAATTATCGGAAATCGACGAAAATGGGCTTCTTCATCTCATGAACTTATAACACTTGCCATAACTCTGGCAGTAATTATCAGAAATCATTAGGCTTCTTTGTCTCATGACCTTAAACACAGTGTATAAATCTAAAGTCAATCGGAGATTAACTTTTAGCCTCTAGACAGTCCACAAGTGAAAATCAAAAGGCTTCTTCATCTCATGACCTTAAACACTGTGTATAAATTTAAAGTTAATCAGGTATTAACTTTAGCATCTTGAGCGTCCACGAGATATTTCAAAGTGATCAAGGGTCAGAACTCTGGCAGTACTTATCGGAAATCAGTGAAAATCAATAGGCTTCTTTGTCTCATGACCTTAAACACTGTGTATAAATTTAAAGTCAATCGGATAATAACTTTAGCCAAAATTGCTTGTGGACGCCAGACCGACGACAACACAACCACATTTCATGACCTTAAACACTGTGTATAAATTTAAGTCAATCGGTTATTAACTTTAGCATCTTGAGCATCCACAGGATATTTCAAAGTGATCAAGGGTCATAACTCTGGCAGTAATTATTGGAAATCGTTGAAAATCAAAAGGTTTCTTCGTCTTATGACCTTAAACACTGTAAAAATTTAAAGTCAATCGGATATTAACTTTAGCATCTAGAGCATCCACAAGATATTTCAAAGTGATCAAGAGCCTTAACTCTGGCAGTAATGATCGGAAAATGTTGAAAATGAATAGGCTTCTTCATCTCATAACCTTAAACATTGTGTATAAATTGAAAGTCAATCGGATATTAACTTCCGCCTCTAGAGCATCCACAAGATGTTTAGAAGAGATCAAGGGCCATAACTCTGGCAGTAATTCATGACCTTACACACTGTGTATAAATCTAAAGTCAATCGAATATTAACTTTAGCCTCTAGAGTGTCTGCAAGCAATTGGACAAACGAGGGCAACGACAATATTCGACCACATTTCACTGAAATGTGGGCATATAAAAATTATTTCCCATAAACAATGAGTAGACTTTTTTGTGTTACAAATATATATTATCAAATAAATAATCTTGATCATAAATAGATTCACACCTTTCTATACTTGGGTTCAGATTGCCATTGCCATGGTTTTCTATACTTGGGTTCTCGTTACCATGGCTTACTATATATGGGTTCAGATAACCATGGCTTTCAGTGATGGTTTCATCAGATGGTTCTTTCTGAAAAATAAATATTCACAATATATTGGACATTAACATTAAAAGGTCCGCAGACAGCCTATTTGCTATTTAATCAAAAAAACTAAATCAAAATACCATCACTAGTAGCAAGTTTGAGATGTAACAAGTAAAGTAACAAAATCTTTCAACACTGGTTTAGATATCAGCATCATACCTTTATTTGTCCTGGTTTTAACAAATTATTCTGATTGGAATTACATTCTCTACTGCTACTAAACAACTGGTTCTTCTTTATTCGAGCTTCCTGAAATTCATGATTTTGTAGATAAATTAATCTCATTTATTAAACAAGCTTCAATTTGAAATCCTTTATAATAAGTCTTTTAAAAAAACCCAAAAACAACCATACGGTGAGGCTGATGTCCCCCGCCGAAATCCCAAATAAATAAATGACACATTAATCGCACATTTATTTTTTTCAAAAGTATCGAGCAATCAAACTGATTATCAACTATACACTAAGTTTCATCACTCTATCAGATAGAATCAAAGTTATCTTGTACCAAAGCATCGACCAATGAAAATTTCTTAGCTTGGCTTAGCTTTAGCTCGAAAAGTTAATCATTGAAGTCAGTCAAGACATTCACCTAATGAACATCTACATCAAGTTTAAACATTCTACCTTAAAGGGCCAATCCCGATTATATTTGGGAGATTAAAACTGCTTAATTTTGTGTTAAAAGCCCTTAAAATCCTTTACTAACTCAGTATACGTGATACATTTTCAACCAAATTAAACCTGTCAGTATTCATCTGGTGTCTGGATAAACCAAGACTTTTATTTTATAAAAAAATATGTTAAGATGAAATTTACCTTTCACCTTTCGTTATTAAATACAGCACATGGGCCCATGCACTGTATAGACTTCTAAAGGAATGGCAATAGATTATCAGGTCACCCAATGAAAAAATGGGCCTGACATCTTAAAAGGGTTACGTGTCCGGATAAACGGTTTTGATGTTCACGTCTAAACGACTCAATATTTTGAGCTGAAATTTTGAGACAAGGTAAAAACACCATTCCTCTATATTTTGGCGCTTAATCTTATATGTACACAGACTTTTATTTTTGGGACTGTTAAAATCGTGACTGTCCCTTTAATTAAAAGCAGGGTTCCAAAGTCTTGACCAATCAAATTGCTAATCGCTCCTTAGCCTAAGCAGAAAATTCTCATCATCGAACTTAGTCAAGGGTCAAGGTAATGATATAATGAATCTATACTCGGAGTTTCATCACTCTCACTTAATCAAAACCAAAGTTATAGTGCCCCAAAGCATCAAGTAATCAAATTGCTTATCTCTGCTTACCCTAAACAGAAAATGCTCATCTTCGAACTCCATAAAGCACTCTCCACACAAGTCTCGCTATCCAGCATTCAACTCTGCCCACGGCTCATGCACTAAATTGGTTCACCTAGAGGTCATTGGTCACATGATTAACTACATGATGAAAATGACATCTGTCAGAAAAGTTCCTGGCGTTATAAACACTTGATGAGTTTTAGTCAATTTTAGGGGAAAATATCAATTATTACCCCTCCGTTTCGTGTGTAAATGTATTAGGCCTTACGATCGCATTATAAAGGTAAACAGATCCACGGGTAATTCTAAAATTAGCACGGCAACATGCGCAGTTCGTATTTCCGACCATTTAACCCTGTAATCTTACGTGAAAGAGTTCCCTGTAATATTTGTAAATACATTGTTACTTTGCAATTGTGACCCCATTTCTATTTAAATATGGTAATGGTATTAGATATATTATCATTTATTTGTTGTTCATCATTTTCCATCAACACCAAGAATCTTGGCGGTGCAGTCAAATGAGCCGTTAGCAGAGATAGTTTGGACTGCAAGGGAAGACAACTCTGTTTGGGAGATTGTCCATGAAGACATTGACCTAATAAACACATACACCTTACCCTAAGCAGAAAATTCTCATCTTCAAACTCCATCAAGGCATTGACCTAATAAACACCCACACAAAGTTTGAACATTCTAGTTCAATTAGGAGAGTTATTGTGTCCCAAAAAGTGTGACGGACAGCCGGACGAACGAACCCATTTTAATAGTCCCTGCTTTCTTCGAAAGGCTGGGGACAAAAAGATGTTACTCTTAATGAGTAAGAAAGATAGGTTGCCAGGCAACAAAACATATACCCACAGCAGCTAAATCGTCTGCGCCAACAACAAGGGTTGACGCATATTTATTCTTTTATAGGTAATGGGAACATTTACAGGATACTGATATCCATTTCATACAGATCAGATGACAACTTTGTCATTTGAAACAAGGAAATGAAATGAAATGAAATGGAGTTTAACGTCCTACTGTTCTGCTCCTAACCTGGGCTAATGAAGACGGGCATATGCCATACAGTGTGCTATGAGGGAAATTTTGCCCGGACAGCGGCACTACAGCCTACTCTTATATCGAATTCCAACTGCCAAGGGATCTTTTACGTGCACGCCAATTTGTACACGGGACCTCGGTTTTTCGTCCCATCCGAACCACTAGACAGCTTTCCTTGTCAGCCCCTCCATCCTGCATCACTGACAAGGGAGAACCACGCCGGAAAATCTGGATGAACTTTCTCGGCCAATGCAGGGATCGAACACCCGACCTCCAGGCTAGCAAGCTAGCGACTTACCCACTTAGCCACGTGATCCCCCATTTGAAACATTTGAAACAAGGACCATAACTCTAGAAGTAATTAACGGAAATTATTGAAATTAAATAGGATTCTTCGTCAACAATGAACACATGAATAGATAATAATTACTGTAGTCTGTAGAGTGTTCACACACAGCAATCAATTCATTTATGGTCACAATCATTTAAGCTGATAAAATATAAAAGAAAGAATAAATTTCAATTTTCAAGTAATGCTTTTTACCTGATCAGGTATGCGACGTGGTGCCCTGAATTTTGATACAGGTACTGTTGTTGCTGACATTCTTGCTAGAATAAAGAAGTTTATTGATTGATTAAACTGAAGTGTTCTGAAACTGACCCATCACCAGACAAATACCATAATTAAACGTTACACACAGGCATGGGCATGGATTTAGGGGGGGACCCGTTCGTCGTGTTTAATTACGTCACAATTCTACTCACACCACCTCCGTCGTCGGGACTGACAGAACTGTTACAGGACTGAATTCCGCGTCACTTGATTGCAATTCTGTCAATCCGGGACGTTCAGGACTGTGAATCGAGCATCCCCAATATTTATGCAGCTTTGATGTAGGTAGTCAATTTTTCAATATTGTCATCATACATGTATTACCCCTAGTTACAGCCTTCATCGAAATAACACTGGTACAGTGAACTGTTCGTAACTGTTTATTTCGTTTGGTAATGAAATGTTCCAGATTCCAGGGTTCGTCCGTCCCCCCCAAAAGTTATGGGAAATCCACGCCCTTGCACACAGGGAAAACCAGCGGTTGCCAGGCAAGATATGGCCTCATTTTACAAGAGAGGGACAGAGAACAAACTAAAGAAAACGCGATTTTTTGTACAATCAAGGGCCAGAATCAAGTTACGGTCTGATCTGCATGAATATCAAAAGGAACCGAGGTCTTTTGGACATAAACATATCTTAAGTTTCATCAAGATCACATAAAAACTGACTTCAAGAGGGTCCACAACCTTGGTATTACATACTTTTACAATATTTGTGTACAAGTAGCAGCCATTTCGTCAAGCAGTTTCAGTCTGAGTTTCAAGAGATTAGAGAGAGAGAGAGAGAAAAATGGGGTTTAACGTCCACTCGACACATGGGTTTCAAAATTCAATGCAAAATCAAAACGCACAAAATTTACCCATTTTCTACTTCAATTTTGGCTATGTAAGACAGGGGGTAAAATTCTGAAAAAGGTTGATAATGAAACTTCATTTACCCTGCTATAACATACATTAAAGTCCATCTTGTGTATTTGATGACTTATGTTTTTAATTTGCACTTGAAATCTGTGCGGTGATGGAGTTGACTTTTCACGTTGATTTTAATAATACTTCTAATGATTTACATGTATACCCCCTCAAACGTGTTTATTTCAAGTAACTGTTTGCATAGATTATGAATATGGAATCATTTTGGATCTACATCATATTGTTTTAAATTTATTTTTCTTCCCAAATGAGAAAAAAAAATGGTTATTCCACTTCACAAATTGGAATATTGGGCTTTGCCAATCAAGATTAAAATTACTTCTGAAAAACTATTAAAACAAGCCAACAGTGAGGCTGAAGTCCCCCATCGAAATCCCAATATAAATATACTCAGCCAAATTAAAAACTTGACACTCAGGATTTTTGGGACTAGATTTTTTATATTTGGTTTAAGGCAACTATTTTAGTGTTATGTTGTGCACAGACGACCTTGACATCAAAAGAAAGCAAGAATACGTCTCTCCGAAAGTCCTTGACATTGATAACGTTCGTGATGTCACAGTACCCCCCAAAATGAAATTCACAGACTTGGAGAACAATCGGAATAAAGTGTTTAGTAACGGTTGTGGCCTCCTCTAGCGTCTCGTACTGCCACACAACGTCTTCTCGTGGATCTCAGAACATTAGTAAACACTACCCGAGGAAGACGTCGCCACTGCTAAGCAAGAGCATGTTGAAGGTCCTGCAACGTCAGTGGTGGTTTCTCTTGCTGACGAACACGTCGACCAAGTTCGTCCCAGATGTGTTCAATAGGATTAAGGTCGGGGGCTATGCGACGGCCAATCCAGGACCACGACACCGGCATTTCTTAAAAAATTCTGGGTAGCAATTGCTGTATGGGGTCGAGCATTGTCTTGTTGAAACGTTAGTCCAGGCCCATGTCTCTGCATAAACTGAAGAAGAACAGATTGCAAAATCTGATCCCTGTACTGGACAGCATTTAAGTTCCCTTGGACAACAAGAGGAGAACGTCCATGTGCACAAAAAGAACCCCAAACCATGACGCTGCCGCCACCAAATCAGTCAACTTCTCTGACGCATACTTGAGCGTAACGTTCACCTCGTCTGCAGTACACCCGGGCCCTGCCATCGGCAAATCTCAAAGTGAATCGAGATTCGTCACTAAAGACAACCGAATTCCACTGTCTTTCAGTAAATCTTATGTGTCTTGTGGCCCACACAAGTCAGTTACGGCAATGAAGAGGTGTTAATAGGGCCTCCGAGCTCGAAGACCAGCAGCCTGCAAGCGATTTCGAACAGTTTGTGCAGTTACCCTTCCACCAAACATCTCTCTACTTGTGGAGGTTGCAGTGACAAATCTGTTTCTAAGATGACGTAATCGTATTGCTTGATCTTCCTGGAGTGACGTCACACGTGGCGCTCTCGCCCTTGGGCGGTCGGCAATAGTTCCAGTTTGAAGCACTCTCATTCTAAGATTAATTATTGTCTGGCGTGAACAATTAAAGGCTCTTGCAACAGTGACCACAGACTGACCAGCATAGAGCCTACCTATAGCACGTAGACGTTCTACATTTGATAGGTGCGGCATTTTCTAACAAAAATGAAAATAATAATTTTAATTTGTTTTTCCAGTTCAAGTTACGTGTGCGTGTTCAGTTTAAGCAAACTTGCATCGATTGACCTCACGAGTTTGTGTTTTTCAGGTTTTTCATCTTTATATGCTCAAAAGTCTACCTCAATTAAAATCAGAGTTGTTATGTTCCAAAGTCTTGACCAATCAAATTGCTTATTGATATTTAGCCCAAGCAGAAAATTCTCATCATCAAACTTAGTCAAGGTAATGATATAATGAATCTATACTCGGAGTTTCATCACTCTCACTTAATTAAAACCAAAGTTATTGGCCCCCAAAGCATAAAAAAACCAGATTGCTTATCTCTGCTTACCGTAAGCAGACAATGTTTATCATCGAACTTCATCAAGGCATTCACCTAATGAACGCCTACACTAAGTTAGAACATTCTTCCTCAACTTTGTGCTCCAAAGTCTCGAACAATCAAATTGCTTATCGCTCTGCTTACCCTAAGCAGAAAATGCTTATTATGGAACTTAGTCAAGGTATTGATGTGATAAAACTATACACCAAGTGTCCTCACTCTCACTTATTTAGAACTTAAGTTATCGTGTTCCAAAGCATCAACCAATCAAATTGCTTATCTCTGCTTACCCCAAGCAGAAAATTCTCATCTTCTAACTCCTAACTCCATCAAGGCATTCACCGAATAAAGAGAGAGAGAGAAATGGGGTTTAAAGTCCACTCAACACAAACTAGGTCATTTCAGGACTACCGGTAACACATGGTTCAATTTTATTTCAATAATTCGATTGCGCGTAGGGGTCTTTAGCAGTGGGAGGAAACCTGAGAAAACCCACGAGGTTGGACTGGCATCCCTAGTCTTTGTCACGTACAACTGGGGAATCGAAACCCCGCCAGTTGACTCAGTGACAGACCTATGATACAGCGCAGCGTGCACATGCTAACCATTCGGCCATCCAACCCCCCATCATTCCCTTAATAAACACCTATGCCAAGTGTGAACATTCTAGCTCAATTTGAATGAGAGTTATTGTGTTCCAATCAAATTGCTTATCGCTCTGCTTACCCGGAGCAGAAAATGCTCATTATCAAACTTAGTCAAGGTATTGATACATAATAAAACTATACACCAAATTTCATCACTCTCACTTAATTAAAACTAAAGTTATCATGTCCCAAAGTATCAACCAATTTGGGGGTTGGATGGCTGAATGGTTAGCATGTGCGTGCTGTATCATACGGCCTGTCATTGAATCAACTACATGTAGCGTGGTTTCGAATCCCCGGTTGTACGTGAAAAGGAGTAGGGTCGCCTGTCCAACCTTGTGGGTTTTCTCCGGTTTCCTCCCACTGCTAAAGACCCATACGCGCAAGTGAATTATTGAAATAAAATTAAACCATATGTTAGTCCCAACATAGACGTTAAACCTTATTTCTCTATCTCTATCAACCAATCAAATTAGTTAAAGGGAGTATAGTTTCTATTTAATTTTGGTTTCAAAATTGATAAAAGACCAACTGACATTAACCATACTAATTTTGGAGGTTGTGTATACAATAGTTACTTTGCCAGAGGCAGCGTGGAATTCCTGAAACAACCAGTGGCTGCCAGGCAGGATACACCCACATTTTTGAGAGATGGATAGAGAACAAGCTAAAAAGAAAGATATTTTTCCTACAATCAAGGGCCATAATTCATGAAGTTACAATTCGATATGCGCAAATATCGAAAGGAACCAAGATCTTTGGGTTATAAACATGCATTTCAAGTTTCATCAAAATCGGATTAAAATTGTAACCTCTACATATTTTTACACCTTTCGCGTACAAGCGGCAGCCACTTTGTCCGGCAGTTTTGGTTTGATTTTTAGGAAATTTGAACTCAACCTTTATTATGGTGTTATTGTGATATACTATTAAAAAAAAGTAGGGGATATTTGATTTTTAAGTGTTATTAAAGTCACCTAATGAAACTGACGAAGAAACAAATGACAAAATGAAATGAAGTTCACATTCATCGATTTATTCCAAATGATCGTTAGACTAAGTAAGGCACAGACTGACCATTATAACTAAGGGTAAAATGATACCCGGGGTCAAACAGCAAAGTTACCACAGCATCACAATCAAGTCAGTAACAGGTAAATCCTCCTCTGTTTGCCAAACAAGCATTGATCCGACGTGGCATACTCCTAATGAGACGTCTTAGGTCATTTTGGTCCAGATTGTCCCATTCCTGTTGCAACGCAGCAGCAAGTTCTTGGACATTGGCAGGACGTTGTTGACGTTGACGTAACCTCTGTCCAAGCATGTCCCAGACATGCTCGATGGGGGAGAGGTCGGGACTCAGTGCTGGCCAAGGTAATGTGGTGATGTTCTGTTGTTGGAGGTAACCTGTAACGATCCTGGCCCTGTGACATCTTGCGTTGTCATCCTGGAAGATGAAACGGCGGCCATGACGTCGTGCGAACGGCACAACATGGACTGCCAAGATGTTGTCCCGGTAGTACTGGCCTGTAACACGCCCTGCAACAACATGTAAAGCCGTTCTTCCAGCAACAGTGATGCCTCCCCACACCATAACAGAATCACCCCCAAATCGATCATGTCTGATGACGTTAACGTCTTGGAAGCGCTCGTTTCGACGACGCCACACCCTCCTACGTCTGTCCAAAAAATCAACATCACATTGCTCCAGTGTCGAATATCCCAGTGTTGACGATCCCTACACCAACGACGTCTTGCCTGAATGTGATGATCTCTCAAACAAGAGATCACGCGAGGACGTCGGGCGCGAAAGTGACCCCTATGCAGTCGATTCCGAATCGTCTGGCCACTCACTCTCACACCAGTGTCTGTTTGAAGACGAGCGCTGATCTGATTTGCTGTGATGACACGATTTCTGAAGGCCAAGGTCCTGGGCTTGAGTTGTCGCCCTTGGTCGACCTGAGCGTGGTCTGTCCTGTACAGATTGTGTATCACGGTATCTGGACCATAGCCTGCTTATGACAGACTGAGAAACATTTTAAATCGGATAAAAATTATGACCTATATAAGGTCCACAAGCTAAAAACGTGATTTTTCGTATAATCAGGGGCCATAATTCAGGAAGTTACGATCCGATATGCGACAATATCGAAAGGAACCAAGATCTTTAGGTTATAAACATACATTTCAAGTTTCATCAAAATCGAATTGAAATTGTGACCCATACAGGGTCCACAACATTGATTTACCCTATTTTTACACTATTCGTGTACAAACCGCGGCCATTTTGTCCGGCAATTTTGGTCCGATTTTCCCCAAATTCGAACACAACCTTCCTTAGGGTGTAACGGTGATATAATACTACGTTTTTTTTAAATCGGATAAAAATTATGACCTATATAAGGTCCACAAGCTAAAAACGTGATTTTTCGTATAATCAGGGGCCATAATTCAGGAAGTTACGATCAGATATGCGACAATATCGAAAGGAACCAAGATCTTTAGGTTATAAACATGCATTTCAAGTTTCATCAAAATCGAATTAAAATTGTGACCTATACAGGGTCCACAACCTTGATTTACCATATTTTTACACTATTGGCGTACAAACGGCGGCCATTTTGTCCGGCAATTTTGGTCCGATTTTCCCCAAATTCGAACTCAACCTTCCTTAGGGTGTAACGGTGATATAATAATACGTTTTTTTAATTCAGGAAGTTACGGTCCGATATGCACGAATATCGAAAGGAACTGAGATCTTTGGGTTATAAACTTACATGTCAAGTTTCAACAAAATCGGATAAAAATTGTGACCTCTATAGGGTCCACAAGCTAAAAACGTGATTTTTCGTACAAACAGGGGCCATAATCCATGAAGTTTCGATCCAATACATGCCAATATCAAAAGCAGCCGAGATCTTTTGGAGATAAACCTATATTTCAAGTTTCGTCAAAATCGGACAAGAATTGTGATCTGTCGAGAGTCCACAAACAAATTGTGGACGGACGGACGGACGGACAGGGGCGACGACATATACGTCCACATGAAAATGTGGGCGTATAAAAATTGAATAGTTCATTTGTTCCACATTTTGCCACCTGGTGGCACAAACAGTGTGAATCGCACATTGCATGTGATGCTAAAATTATAATCTACACCAAAAGTTATCTTAGATTACAAAGTTCTACTCCTAGTCCTATTAGAAATTTGAGTTTAAAGTGCTTGGATTTATGATCCACATCTCAGCAAGTTTTTTACTTAAGAAGAGAGGTATAATTTCGGATGTGTTAGTTTAAAGCCAAAAACCTTATATTTTTTATAATTTTTTTGTAGGGGGGAATGTTCCCAACTTTCCCCAATTTGGTCCACTTGACATGGAATGACCCTTCAGTATCATTTCTTGTCACAAATTGCTGGGAATGGGCTTCTAGTTCTAGCTAGGTGTTCAAAATTTTTCGGACCTGCAGCCCACGGCTCCGCAGAAAATAAGAGTGTTTTTGACCAAAATATACCTTTCCGTCTGATCAAGCAAAGGTGGCAACGGCCTAGAGCCTAGAGGTGACATCGCAATAAAACAGACATTTAATTATGAGAATTTAATCTTAAAAATGTTATATCGTTCATTGATGGTAAGCCTGGAAAATCATCTAAAATATCTAAAGGAGGACCCCCAATACAAATCAGCAATCTACTTCAAGGCAAAATAACTTTTAGGCTAGGCCTATATGGAAATCGTTTCACGCCGAGTGGTGCTTCGGTGCAATGACACTTGACTCAGTTCAGTCGTGGCACCACCAACCAATACTGTCAATGGAGTCTCAATGTTAATGCGGAAATAAGTGTTGCTCCGCAATGAACTATTCAACTATGTTAATGAATAATAAACAAAGATTGATCAACCTTTACCTTCGCCCAATGCCACAAAATAGTAACACAGACACCAGTCCTGCTGACAACTGTCCGGTAAGAGACGATTCCTGCGCTTCACGTGCATGTAGGCGAAAGACCGAAGACATTTATCGTTCAAGTTCGTTGCAACAACCTCTGTGGGAGATTTTAATTTTTTAAATTACACGTCTCTCTGTACTTATTTAAAAACCATGATCTCCACACATTCGGCATGTGCCAGTATTTAATAATTATTTTTTTAAAAATGGAATTCTTTTTAACCTAATCACCTAAAAAATAAACATTACACGCGTAGGAATACACGCGAAGTTTGTTGCCGAGTGCCATTTTGGCCAATCAAAATAAAGAAAACGTTTAGCCCCAATCCTTCAATCGTCAACAAGGACACATTTTTCTGGCATTCTGACCAGAAAAATGAAGTGCCTTATTCATAAGAATGCAACACAGCCCTGCAAGAAAAAAAAAAAAAGTTACTGGTTTTTAACGGCAACACCTGGAGGCATTGTGTGGAATATTCAAAACAGTGGCAGACTTTGGATGGAGAAGAAAAAAACATTGCAATCACGTATCGAGATGTGTTCGAAGGTATGTTTGTATGTTATTATTAGTTAGGCTATTTTATTATTATTATTTTCTTAGTCTTAGTATTTAAATTTTTTCTAGGCTGTGAGTGTTCACGTTGGTTGTTGTTAAGATATATATAAAGTACTTGTTCACAATACATGGTATCACGCAAACCAGTGGTGGGCAAACTTTCAAGTTTTAAAACAAAACTGAAGCCTAAACTGGTGAAGGGCAAAATATTTTTATGAAACATAACTAACAAATAACATTAGTCATTAATTACAATGTCAAGAAGGGTTATGAAATATCATTTTCAATAAAGTAATATTAGAAATATGGAGTACAGCACATAATATTTAAAATTACATTCTTATTAGAATCATTTTATTCAGGTTCCATGGAAGTTTGTCAAATTTATATTCCGTCGGGGATCACGTGGCTAAGTGGGTAAGACGCTAGCTCGCTAGCCTGGAGGTCGGGTGTTCGATCCCTGCATTGGCCGAGAAAGTTCATCCAGATTTTCCGGCGTGGTTCTCCCTTGTCAGTGATGCAGGACGGAGGGGCTGACAAGGAAAGCTGTCTAGTCGTTCGGATGGGACGGAAAACCGAGGTCCCGTGTACACATTGGCGTGCACGTAAAAGATCCCTTGGCAGTTGGAATTCGATATAAGAGTAGGCCGTAGTGCCGCTGTCCGGGCAAAATTTCCCTCATAGCACACTGTATGGCGTATGCCCGTCTTCATTAGCCCAGGTTAGGAGCAGAACAGTAGGACGTTAAACCCCATTTCATTTCATTTCATTTTATATATTCCGTCGGTGATTGGTCTAAAACAAAACCTGCCGTCTTGTGGGAGCATAGTTTGGAATAGCCTTTACAGAAAAATCAAAGGCAATTAGTCTAAGCCGTAAAAAGATCTGCAAAGATTATTGATCCTGCAGGCGGAAATGCTATTTAAATAAGCAATTTTAGATTTTGATTTCATTTAGAGATTGCATTGCTCCAAAAAAAATTCACACATGTGACATACGATTATGTTTTTTCTATCATATTTCCTATTTTCTTTAGGAACAAAGGAAGAAGCTTCAAAGGTGAATCAAAAAGATGTTCCTGTAAAGTTGCTGCTCTTTCCTGTACAGATCTTTGTGGATGTAAAGACTCAAAATTCCACACCTACACCCACAGAGATGGCTATGGATAATAATGATGATCATGATGATGAAGAAGAATTTTGAATGTAAAAACTGTATATTGTTACAAAGATAATAATCAATACATTCTCAATAAAAAAAAATAAATATATATATTTTCATTATTACATCAACAGATATTTGTTTTAAAAGTATTATTATTTTTTCCTTTTCTTTAAAATGATTTTCTATCCCCAATTCTTTGTACACCTTTAACCTGGCATTACTAAAATTAAAGCAATATATGGGAGCATGGATTTTATCCTCAGTTGAATGCTACATTCTCACATAGTTTATAACTCTTACATCAGGGTTTTTTTTGTGTCTGACCCTTATGATCGGCTGAAGTTTAGTGATTTTTTTTTTCTCTTAATTTCTGATATTTTTAAAATCAAGTTATTCCATCGGATTATAATTTTGTTTTATCTTATAGTAAAACTAATGTTTTAAATCTGTATCATTAGTCGAGTTTAAATTTTGAACAGTTTTACAATTCAAGTAATCTTTGTTAATATTGAACATATCATTGAACTCGCTATAACATATATTAACCATAACAAATTCATTATGCATATTTTGTACACTTTAGTCCATGAATGATTTAGTATAATTATAAAATCAAAATCAACATGTTTTATTAAATTTTAAAATGACTTGGTATATATGTTTTTACATACCTATTGTATGCTGATTCAAGCCTATAAATTCATATCTTATCAACAAAGCTTGTACATACTGTTTTTTTCCATATTCATTTCAATTAAAATCAGAACTTTTGTCAATTAAAGTCATTACAGTAATATTTAAAGGAGCTAAATCACTAAAACACGAGAGACCGAGAAATTGACAAAAGTAGGTCGCAACGCATATAATACTGTAGTATGAATGTATATAAACTGATTTACATTCAATGGTTTCCGTTTTTACTCCAATTTCAAATCATCTATGTTCGGCGAAATAAGCCAGCAGTCTCAAGCGAGTGCAAATTTCTAGCGTCTGGTTATTCCAGTCTATATACGCCGTTTGATTTGATGCAATGTGTCTAGCCTCGTCCCTCAAGTCTCTTGATATAACTGGGGCTGAAGCGCATTATGGTACACGATTCGTGTACAAATGGTAAAATGTTTATTTTGTCTTAAATATTGGATATCAAAAGCCCATCTTTTTCCGGTAAGATCACAACATGAATGTTGATTTAATTTGACAAATAAATCGTGTTTTCAATGTTGAAGATTTTGGATGATATTGAGTTAGAGACTTAGCTACTTTAATGTTTAAATTTTGAACTACATGTATTAAAAATCTTAACTATTTCTTTATATATCAGACATGTGCAGCATACATATTTATTTTAGTCTATTATGGTACATTTTTTCTCAGTTGTTTGATGTTAATTATCAATGAATTAGTGTATGTGTAGTGTGTATGTGTGTGTGTGAGTGTATGTAATATATACATGTATATGTGTTTATTTATGTATTTGATTTATTATTGTAATTTCATTATGTTTTGATTGTAATATTTATATCTGTTTTTATTTTTTTTTTTTATTTTTTTTTTAGAGAGTGGGGTTGCCTGCTCTATAATCCAATTATCTTTAATAAATAATGTTAACAAAAATAATTTATTTTTAAAACTCCCATAGACCGCTCCTTTGAGCAAGACCAAGTAGTCTATATATATTTTTTAAAATAGGGGAATGGACAAACAACGGACATTTTAGCCAGTTGTTAGAACACAACCTGTATTATACCTATGCATTAATTTCAAAAAGTCATAATTTAGGGCATTAAGCAGTGTATGGGGGGGGGGGGAGTGCTGGGCCTTGCCTTTGATTTATGCATAGTTATATTATTTGGATGCTACAGTGTCGACTTTATTAGAGATGAGGAAGGGTGGGCTTAGGGGATCTATTCTAACCAGTTAATATTAGGGTGAACTCGACAATGCAAAGTATGTATGTCTACACACGCAAAGAGTGAAAGACTACAGTAGGAAGAGAGCCTCTAGGCTCTAAATATAGCTTCACACACCTTGATTGATTTTTATATTTGGCAATTATCTATATTTATATTCGATTATATATAGGCCTATATCATTACTATCAAACAACATTTCCAACCCTTCTCAAATTATCTTAATACTCGGAGCTGTGGTGGGACGTTAAACACGATGCATGCAAAAATTAATTCCACAGTGTCGTGTAGGCCTACTTTCTTAAGACTAATAAATTGATTCATCACATTTACACAGGCTACAAACAGCTTAAAATTTGTTGAGAGAGGACAGGCCCGTCAGGTATTACCGACAGCGGCTTCACGGGGGTAAGAGGGGTAAAGCTTGTCTGGCATCGGGGAAAACTTTCCGTCTGGTGGGGTGGAGGGTCCGAAAACACGACACATGTGACATAATCGCCAAGTGGTAAACAGCTGTCAGTTGGACACTACCCAATAATTGAATAATCGAATGAGTCATCGCCGACCTAAATCTTTCACATTTATGCACTTATTACATTTTAGCCGACACCGGTAAATACCAGTATTAATAGTGCGCACTTTCTTTTCATTAGAAATATGATTTACAACGAGTTTGGCTACAAAAAATCGACCTAAATATATTATAGCAAAACAACGACATTGATCTATTTAATTCTCCATAAGGTCACGTGTATTTACTGTTATTCGCTATTTACTAGATTTTCATTGGCTGAAAGCTCGCCGTCTCACTACTTTTATTATTGCGAGGACAAAAAATGCTGTCGTTTAGATTATTTGTTTAAAACGTTTCTGGCACATAAATTGGAGTGTGGCAGTTTTGTTTACAATACATTAGGGTTATTTCTCGAGAAATAAATATTAAAACTTTCCACAGCGGTGAGTTGCAACGACTTTTGAAAACTAAGCTAGTTAGAACTTCCCAGTCCTCCGCCTAATGTAATTGAGCGCCCTCTGGGTTTTTATTTTTTAAAGCGAAGGGAAATGAGTGGTCACTTTACACAGTAGGGGTGTTGGCTTAACAAACAAGAGCATTGCTAACGCTGCAATATACGTCCACATTCCTGCTATGAATGATATGGTACTTTTTAAAATGAAGAAAATGAAATATGAAATGGCTGTAATATGACAACAGGCAAAGAAGGCTTGACGATGGGTTTGTTTTGCCAAATTTACAGACAAAATATTAACAAAAAGATAGGTTGCCAGGCAACGAAACATACGCCCACAGCAGCTAAATCGTCCGGGCAGTCAACAAGAGTTGTCGCATATTTTTACTTTTTTGGGTAATAAATCATTTATAATACACTAAAATCTGATTAAGAGCAACAACTCAGAAAACCATTAAAATTTGTTT